CAAATGTACTCAGCCTATTTCTTACCTGTCTTCTATTACTATGTCAATCTCACAATGTATTACTTATAACTGTATGATGCCAGTTTCATCAGTATGCAGTTAGTTACACGAGGAAGCATTTTGTGCACATTAAGAAAACACCAATTAACACACACCATTGACTAAGAAATATCACAATTCCAATGATGCAAAAATGGTAGAAAACGCACAGTTCTGATCAGTGCACTCCCATGTTGCAGCAGGTGGGACAAGCCACCTTGGTCACTATTCTTATTTAGAAGTTTCCTGATTGTTATGTTTATTTTCCCAAATAATTATTTGAGATGGAGTCCCACTCTGTTGCCCAGGCTGGAATGCAGTGGCTTGATCTTGGCTCACTGCAACTTTTGCCTCCCAGGTTCAAGCGATTCTCCTGCCTCAACCTCCAGAGTAGCCGGAACTATAGGCAGGCACGCGTCCAGCTATTTATTTATTTATAAATGGAGTTTTGCTCTTGTTGCCCAGGCTACAGTGCAATGATGTGACCTCGGCTCACTGCAACTTCTGCCTCTTGGATTCAAGTGATTCTCCTGTCTCGGCCTCCCAAGTAGCTGGGATTATAAGTGCCCGACCCCAAGCCTGGCTAATTATTTGTATTTTTAGTAGAGACAGGGTTTCACCATGTTGACCAGGCTAGTCTCCAACTCTTGACCTCAGGTGATCCACCCGCCTCGGCCTCCCAAAGTGCTGGGATTACATGTGTGAGCCACTGCACCCGGCTTCCAGCTAATTTTTGCATTTTTTGGCAGAAATGGGATTTCACCACGTTGCCCACACTGGTCTCAAACTCCTGACCTCAAGTGATCCATCTGCCTTGGCCTACCTGAGTGCTGGGATTACAGGTGTGAGCCACCACGCCTGGCCCCAGATAATTTTTAATTTGGCAAGTCACTACCATACAAAAAAATGGTTTTAGTTAGTATTACACTGAATTTTCAAACAAACTTACAGAAAATTATACCAAGGATGTTTTGTAGTTAAAAAGTAACAGTCTTTTCTTCCCCTTAGAAAGTATCCCAAAATGTACAACCTCTACCATACATTTCATGCCAAGAAAATTAGTATTGCTGTCTCATGGGCTAAAAAGACTACAGAGAAAGAGAAAAGCTTTCAGTAGTAACAATAAATGACATGAACCTCTGTATTTTTCGTAGAAAAGGAAAGATTCTTGTTACGGACTGAATGTTTGTGTTTTCCCCAAATCCCTAGGGTGAAATCCTAACCCCTAAGGGGATAGTCTTAGGGGGTGCAGCCTTTGGAAGGTGATGAAGTAATGGGGGTGGGGACCTCATGAATTGGAATAGTGAGTGCCCTTATAAGAGATGTAAGAGATGTGAGAGATGTTCTTCATCTCTGCCACATCAGGACAGAGCAAGGCGGCGCCCCTCTATAAGCCCGGGAAAAGAGCCTTCCTCCAGGAGTGGGATAGGCTGGCCCTGCATCTCAGAGTTCCCAGCCTCCAGAACTGTGAGAAATAAGATTCTGTGGTTTAAGCCCCGTCTACATTATTTTTGTTATAGCAGCCTGAACTTAGCACAGGCCGTAGGATGTAAAGAGAAAAGTTAGCAAATTATAAGTTCATTTACAGCTATTTCTAGTCATCTTTCTCATACCAAAAATCTCATGGAAATAGTTTAAACCACAAACAAGAACTGAAATTATAAGAACAAGGACATGAAGTCACATCACTTCTAAGTGATCAGGCCGTGTGGGTCAGTGAGAACACCCTGGGCTGGGGAGATCTGGAGGCTGTCTTTTCCCTCTGCTGCAGAAGCAGAGGAACATCAGTTACTCAATGTCATTTTCAAAGCATCTCACCTGAGCAGCAACAACAAACTCAAATCCCTGTCTAAAAACACAGCAGAGGCTCCAGCCACAGGGAACACTGGCTTGTGAGGATACTGCCCCTGCAGGTTCCAGAGCTCCAGTGCCCGCCTGTGCAGGGCCAGGCCAGGGGACACTGCCACGCAGCACCAAGTGCTCAAGCAGGGACAGGCAAGAGGTGCTCAGAGGCAGGATGAGGCCTGACACCTGATAAGGCACAGCAGGCGACAGTGACCTAGAACCTAGAGGAGATGTCCACTGAGCTGGGTCTTGAGCAATTAGTGGCTCCAGGAAGAGGAAGACAAACAGTGAGCCCGGCCAGGTGCGGTGGCTCACGCCTCTCATCCCAGCACTTTGGGAGGCTGAGGTGGGTGGATCGTGAGGTCAAGAGATCAAGACCATCCTGGCCAACATGGTGAAATCTCATCTCTACTAACAATACAAAAATTAGCTGGGCATGGTGGTGGGCACCTGTAGTCCCAGTTACTCAGGAGGGTGAGGCAGGAGAATCGCTTGAACCCAGGAGGTGGAGGTTGCAGTGAGCCGAGATTGCAGCACTGCACTCCAGCCTGGCAAAAGAGTGAGACTCCATCTCAAAAAAATAAAATGATAAACAGTGAGCCCAACCACAGACACCCGTGGGGGACCAGAGAAATAGAAGAACCCCAAATCTGGAGAAAAGGGCTCGTGGACTTGGTGCAGAATCCACAGAAGGACCTTGGGCAGGACAGACGACCAAATTTCCTTCCAGAGCCTGCTTACAATCACGAGAGCCACAGCAGGGAAGAGAGAAGAGGAGGCCCTCAAACTGTCTAGGTAATGTGAGGGGGGTCTGGACAGCCAGGAGAACTGCAGGAAGACAGAAGCTGCCAGTGGGTGGCTGCTCAGAGGCAAGGCAGGGCAGGGAGGTAGGGAGACTCTAGGAGCTGCAGGTGGGTGGCTGCTCAGAGGCAGGGCAGTAAGGTGGGGAGAGTTTAGGAGCGGGAGGCTACAGCTGCAGAGATGCTAAACACTTCCATCAAGGCAGACAACTTGGAGGAAAAGTGATCCATCCTGCCTGTGTGGAGCTTGGCGTGTCTGTGGGAAAATCCAGAGGACCCAGGAGAGAGATGTTAGCTGAGAACAAACTTCAGAGTCACACTGGGACCCAGCACTGTCAGGGCAGACAATGCCAGGTCTTTGAACATCAACATCTAAAAGACCAGGGGAAGAGCTGAGGGCAACAGAAAAGAGAATGACCAGAGACTTGGGGAGAGGGTGCAGGAGCTGCACCACCCAGGGCTGTGCAGGAGAGAGGGGGAAGCCAGGAGGCCCTGATGACTGGCACGGGCCCCAGGAGATATGGAGAGCACATGCTCGAAAGCCTGGATGGAGAGGGAAGAGCAGCTGGGCCACAGGGAGAGGGGAGAGTTGGGGAAGGAGAGAAGAATGGCCGGCTTTTTGCCTTGTTTTTGTTTTATTCATTTAATGACAGGAGAGAGACCTGCAGGTAAAACACAGCCTTGGAGAGCTGGGGAAGTGGGGAGAGTACCTAGGGAGAGACTCAGAGCCTGCCTTGTCCCTCACCACTGCCACCCAGGCAGGGCAAAAGCTGCTATGGGCAGGAGGCCTCGAACCACTCAGCATTTCTGAGCCGTGCCCAGGTCAGCAGCACCTGGCATTGCTCAGAAAGTAAAGCTGATCAACAAAGTCTGGTTGTGGTGCAGCTTCCAGCTCCTCCAGCTCAGGGCTGTCCAATGCAGCAGATGTGATGAGGGCTGTGGAGTCAGCCAGGTCACTGTGGACATCAGGACCCTGCCCACAGTGCAGTGCACTGAAGGGCATGCAGCAGGTGCCCAGTGAAGACACGCTGAACTGAGAAGAGGTGAATGAAAAGGCCTTAGGAATGCCTCCCTACTCCAGAGCTCTGCGGAACAGCTGACAGAGCCCTGCTCCGCCGCTGGGATGCCAAATGGCCCTCAAGACAGGCAGATGATAGGGGCGTTTTCCCTTTGCAAGAGTCCTTAATGCAGGGCTTACCCAACCACAGTCAGGCCCAAAGCCCCTGAAAGAAAAGTGGAATTCTCAGCAAAGTTATGTTCAATCAGCCTGGCGTGGTGGCTCACGCCTGTAATACCAGCACTTTGGGAGTCTGAGCTAAGAGGATGGCTTGAAGCCAGGAGTTCAAGATCAGCTTGGACAACATAGGGAGACCCCATCACTACAAAAAAAATATTGTTTTAGATTAGCCATCTGTAGTGGCATGTACCTGTGGTTCCAGACTCGGGAGGCTGAGGTGGGAGGACTGCTTGAGCCCAGGAGGTAGAGGCTGCAGTGAGCCATGATTGCGCCACTGCACTGCAACCTGGGCAACAGAGAGACCCTGTCTCAAAACAAGTTACATTCAATAAAAAAACACCACCACCGCCGCCACCCTGCCACTGCCCCAACGATGCGGTTTGAGCAGATGAAGCAGCACCTGCTGCTTGAGTGTGGCCTGGCTGGTCAGATCACAGGCTTCAGAGGATCGTGTAGGGCTGCTGAGCCCCTCGCCCCTCAGGAAAGGGTGCGACTTCTGGAAAAGCAGTTCCCAAACCCTCCTGTGGACAGCTGCCACCCCTAATGCTTGTTTTTTGAGAGGAAAAGTGTCTCCCAGGCTGAACTGCACTCAGCTTTGCAGAGCCCTCAAGTGAAGCTCCAGGTTGAGTAACGAGCCCGGCCGAGTCCCGATCCCGCAGAGAAAAGCTGCCCAGAAAGCCGAGTGGAGCGCAGGCCACTGTGGAGGAGACACAGCGCCCAACCACGCCCACAGTGAAGGTGCACACTGGGGCTGTGGGTCATTGTTTCTAAAATGCATGTGAACGTTTCAGTTTGTAACATTTACCGAGAATGTGCCCAGTGCACATGACTTTCCCTCTTCCCAGCTTCACATCCTTCCTTTACTAAACTTAGGAAGGCCATTTCTCATAACTAAGTCACAACAGCCAATCATAAGCCATTAGTTTTTCTCCCAGAAATAACGTCACCTTTTCTTCACCTGGTGACCAGCTAGTAGCACAATGACCTGCTCTGCTTGTGAGACATTAGCTTAAATCCTGAGACGCTGACTTATCCACCTGCATTTATAGAAAGGAAAGTTCTGGCCACACACACAGGTACGATGCCCAAGAATTGATTTATCATTGATAGTGTTGACAGAAGTTCATGTTCAGGACGTAACAGAATTTCCAGAAAAGACCCAGCAGATCCATCTGCAAATAGAACCTGATTTATACAAACACATCCAGCACGCCTCCCAGAGAGCATGGGGACCGAGCGTGGCCTTAGGAGACCTCACTGTGCTCAGGGACCAGATCTTCCGAGGATGAAGGCGAGAACAGCCCAGGCCGTCATGATGCCACAGACTCTGCAAGACAATGACACACATCTGTGGCCGGGGTGCCCAGCAGGCCCAGAGGCACCAACACAGGCTCGCCCCTCCTCCTTCCCAGCGCTGCACTCTCGGATGTCATTTCTGTCCGTCACTCCCTCCGTGCCCACACTAAGCTTCTGCCTCTCAAGGGTAGGCTGGCTCTGAGATGCAAACCGCAGGCTGACAGAAGGAAAAAGCTTTGCCTCGGAGCTCAGTGTGCTTCTTCAGCAATGCTGTTTTCTAACTGACATGGCCCCTAACCAGCAAGCCAGAACCTCACGGAGCTCAACCGACAGCAACTCCATCTTTCCAGCTGTTCAGGCCCAAACCCTGGATTTGCACTCAACCCTTCTCTGGTCTGTCACTGACCCCACCCTGCTGCCCCTGGCTGCACCCAGTTGTGACCAGCTGAAGCATCTCCTTCCTGACTGTTCTCCCGGTGTCACCTCGGCAGTCTACCCCAACATGGAGGACAGCCTGAGTCGAGTCATGGATCTTTCTCACTGAAACCTCCGTGATCCCCTCTCCTGAGAAGCCCACGGTCCTCACTGGGTGGTCCCCACGGTGGAGTAGGGTGCGCACCGCTTCCTTTTCCAGTGTCCCCTCCTTGCTGTTCTGCTCACAGTAGCCTCCCTGTGACTCTTCTGGCGCCTCCTGACAGGAGGGCTCTGCCCTGCTGTCCTCTCTGCCTGAACGCTGTTCCCAGGTCACTGCCTGGCTCACTCCAAGTCTCTAATGAGGACCTCCATCAGCTCCTTCCAACTGCAGCCTGCCACCCACCCTTGACCCTTCTCTCATTTTTAATAAACATTTGTCACCCAACACATTACAGGGTCCACTTGTTTATCATGTTTCTCTCCTCTAGCCCGTGAGCTCCATGAGAGCTGGGATTTTCTGCTTCACTGACGACACCCTGGAACTACGACGGGCCCCGCACAGCAGGTGCTCAACAGACACGTGATGAGCATCACTGAATGACGTTCAGGTTACCACACCTGTCAACACCCCCCATGAGTCACACACCAGCGAGCAAGCTGTGCTCGAGTCAGACCATGCTGGGATGCCGGGACCCCAGGACCCCGGGACCAGAAGGCAGCCTCCCCGGTACTCACTGCAGCAGGCAGTTGACGTCTGGGGAGTGCCTCCAGTAGCGGTACAGGGAGATGTGCAGGGTTGGGTGGCCCCGGTACTCCTTCAGGATGTTCCGTGCGCTGCCAAAACAAGTTTGCTGCGGTCAGCCAGGCAGCACAATCACACCGCCTGCTGTGATCGGGCAGTGGAGACAGAGATACAGGGATAAACTCGGGAGGGGCGGGGGACGTGGACCGAGAGGCACCTACTCCTTAAACTTATTGGTCAGGAGTAAGAACTGGCTTCGTGTGAGACGCCTGACATCAAACTTGCAGAGATTCTGAAACTTATGGTAGACTTGCTGCTCGCTGACCCCAGGCCACCTTTTGACGCTGAGGATGAGGATGGGAGGTCGGATACTTGGATAATCTGGACCAGAAAAATTCTAAAAAACATGCAGAACACAAGAGATTTTCCACAGTGTTTCCTGACTTCTTACCCATTCTGAAGATCTCAAAAGAACTAGGAAAGGCTCTGCCTGGGGCAGGAAGGGGAAGAGAAGGGAGTAGGGGATGAGTCCATGTTGGCTTTGGTGGAGAAACACCAGAGGAAAGAAAAAGCCAGCTCTTATCTCAGTGACCACTGCAATCCCTCTCACAAGTCCCAGAGAACAATGGCCGCTTCCCAGAGAAGCGGGAATGGGGCAAGGGGGCTAAACGAGATCCACTCACAATCTTCGGGACCCCCGCTCGGATGAGGTTCACTTGGTTCACGTAAGGAGCCAGCACATCGAGGTACTGAGGAAAGGTCGACTCGGGAATGGGGTCAATGCTGCAAGGACAGAAAACCCCAAAGCTGTGGGGCACATGAGGTTCACCCACTTCCTCAGCCACAGCCAAGGGCCCAGTGACAGGACAGGGGAAGGACAACGCCTGGGACGGCTCCACCTCCCTCCCGCCCTCACAAGCCTTAGGGCTTCGGTTAGGTGCTTCCCCAGCTGGCCAATCTTCTTTTTTGAGAGGGAGGAGTCTCATTCTGTTGCCCAGGCTGGAGTACAGTGGCATGGTATCAGCTCACTACAACCTGTGCCTCCCAGGTTCAAGCGATTCTCCTGCCTCAGCCTTCTGAGTAGCTGGGATTATGGGCATGCACAACCATGCCAAGCTAATTTTTGTATTTTTAGTAGAGACAGGGTTTCACCATGTTGGCCCAGCTGGTCTTGAACTCCTGACCTCATGATCCACCCGCCTCGCCTCCCAAAGTGCTGGGATTACAGGCGTGAGCCACCCCACCCGGCCCAGCTGGCCAATCTTAAAGCATTCTCAGTGGCCTCCACAGAAGCAGAGCTTCCAGATGTCACCATCTGCTGGTGACAGTTTGGTGAGGGTCCCTCTGCTGACAAACAGCAATAGGCTCAGAGAATCAGGGCAAGGTCACTATTCAGACAAAGCCCCATGCTGACCCCCCTTGGCATGACATCACCCTTGATTCCAAAAGGGTGTCCCTCATTCGACAGCCTCCACCCACTGCCAACGCACCCTCTGTCCAGGGAGCGCACACACCTGAGTGCAGGCCCCAGCAAATCCATGGGCCAGGCAGACAGGCAGGGAGAGCTTTTAGGCCATGAGGATTAAAAGGAATGAAAGATGCATGACCCAGGGCAAAGAGGTGCTCCAGTACTGCTAGCTCCTTCACTGTCCAGCACACACATACTTACCAGGGAGGGCCTTAAGCAGTCAAACCACAAGAAAGGAACGAGGCTGGCACAATTCTTATTTAAGAAATAAGCTTCCCATACATGTATGTGTCATAGAATTTTGTATTTATAACATCCACTGCTGAAAATGGACAAATACAGGCAGTACCCAAGTTAACAGATTATAGTCTGAAAGCTATTTCTACAGCAGTCCCAAAGCACACCAGAATTCTGATTGGCTCCTTGACCTGGCTAAGGCATACTTCACAAACGTGCAAGCCAAGGATGGCGCTGTAGAGTGCACACAGAAAATGTGTTTCTGCTGCTTATGTGCCCAGGGCTGCAGGCATCAAGGATGGTGTCACCTTGGGGAAATGCACTGACGATTCCAATGTGGGGTTCCATCCATGTCTCCCCAGCCTGTGTGCCCCCCAATGATGGATGTGTCATTCATTGAGTTGAACGCTTTCTCCTCTTACCTCATCATTGCTTACATGGCTGTAAGAACACAAGTGAAAAGCAGACCAGGCACACACGCCAGGCTGGGAAGGGCTGAGACAGGTGTCAGGACCTACGCCTAACCCCACTGCCTTGGCCTCCTGACATCTGTGGGGATGGGGGCCGGGACCCACACAGGCAGGGAGGGGTGGTAGGAAGGGCTGCTCCTGTGGCACAGGGCCATTTGTCTGCCACTGCTGTATGTGCTACTGCCCAGTCAGGGACAAGATTTCTATGACAGTGATACTCCACATTCACCCTTCTCTGGTAGAACCCTAGGACTGGGGAGGTCTTGGCTTCCAGCAAGGGCTCAAGAAATCCTCATCACTGATTGAACAGCAGTATGAAAAGGAAGAACACTTACCCGTGCACTTTCTGTAGGATTAAGTGTGCCACTTTCAAAAGAACTAGGAAGGAAAAAAGAAATGTAACAGACCTTATCAAAATACGTGTACTCATGCTTCTTCTCATTATGTGCAAGCCAATCTGAAATAAACGGAGAACCTAGGGATGGCAGGGGCACAATGCCAACAAAAAGTGAGTTTCCAGCTGGGTGTGGTGGCTCGTGACCGTAATCCCAGCACTTTGGGAGGCCGAGGCAGGCGGACTGCTTGAACCCAGCAGTTTGAGACCAGCCTGGGCAGCATGATGAAACCCCATCTCTACAAAAAATACAAAAATTAGCCAGGCGTGGTAGCTGCATCTGTAGTCCTAGCTACTCAGGAGGCTGAGGTGGGAGGATCACTCGAGCCCAGGAGACAGAGGCTGCAGTGAGCCAAAATCCTCACCACTGCACTCCAGCCTGTGCAACAGTGAGATCCTATCTCAAAAAAAAAAGGAAAAAAAGGAGTGAGTTTCCTTTTAAAGGAACAGCAATCCTTACCTGACCCACAAAGGAAGGCATCATATGCAGCTTCATGGGGGCACTTTGTCTCAACTGAGGCATTTTCCACCATTAGGAGAGAATTGAGCAGTCATTAGAAACACGCCCCCTCCTAACTCACCATGCACAGCAGCTACAGCTCATACAACCATCCTCCCCAAGGTCCGGCCCATACACCAACTTCACCTTGGTCCTCCCCACGATGGAGAAAGCCCCAAGCTCAGGGCTGCCTTTTAGACTAAGGACCACGTTAAGGAGGAAACTGACATCTCCCAGGGCCCTCGGATGCATTCTGGGCTCACTTGTTTGGGGCAGGAATTACATGGAATAAGTAGAGTGAAGGGAAACCCCCACAACCCTCCCCCCTGCCACCCGCTGTCCAGGGGTGGGGACCAGGGTCAAGAACATGCTCAGCTGAGCACCTCAGTGCTCTGCTGACCATGCAAACAGTGTGGGCTCATGGGAACGTACCATATTTCTCACAGCTGATTGCATGAACAATCTCTGGTCCAGAATTCTTGGTTGGATTCAAGTCACTATTAGAAAAAAATAAGTAATATGCTGAAGGTAATCCCTTCTTGTTTCCCCTCAGTCCCTTAACATAATTTTTTTTTTTTTTAAGAGACAGTGTTTCACCATGTTGGTCAGGCTGGTTAGTCTCAAACTTCTGACCTCAGGTGATCTACACGCCTCGGCCTCCCAAAGTGCTGGGATTACAGACGTGACTGCGCCCAGCCCAATATAAAATTGTTTAAATGTACTGAGGACATACTTTAAGGTGCAAATCTAGGCATGGACAGGTAAGGTCTCACTAACTGAGCAACCGGAAAGGGGAAAGAACAATGGAGCAGGAGGCCCCTGTGGGGTTCCTCCAGGCATTTATCAAATGCTTTGAGCCCAGGCACAAACGTAGGCAAGACAGTCTCTGTCCTCCAGAGCTCACTCTCTAGTGGCCTGTCTAGTGACAAATACAGAGACAATTATGTCTGCGTCCGGTAAATGCAAGGCCTGGGGCAAGACAGTCACACCAGGACCCTGCAGCCTTCTGGAAGCAGGCAGGACTCTTGGAGAGTCCCAAACCACAGGAACCAACGGGGTTCAAGAAATGGGGAGATGGCAGGCATTTCGAACAGGCAAAGACAGCAGGGAAGGCTGGGAATGGTGGCTCATGCCCGTAATCCCAGCACTTTGGGAAGAGGTTGAGGTGGACAGATCATTTGAGTTCAGGAGTTTGAAAGCAGCCTGGCCAACATAGTGAAACCGTCTCTATTAAAAGCACACAAATTAGCCGGGTGTGGTGGCATGCACCTGTAGTCCCAGCTATTCAGGAGGCTAGGGCAGGAGAATCACTTGAACCTGGGAGGTGGATGTTGCAGTGAGACGAGACTGTGTCATTGTACTCCTGCCTGGGTATCACAGTGAGAGACTCCATCTCAAGAAAAAAAAAGGACGTCTGACACCAGGAGCTGTGAGGGGAGAAGTGGAGCTTAAGTCCTGTGTGAAGGGAGGGCCAGAGAGTGGGAAGGAGCCCCTATGACAGGCAGGGGCTTCAGAAGCCACGGAAAGACTGATCAGAAAAAGCAGCCCATTCAAATTTACATTCTAGATCATCACTCAAGAGGGGTGTGGGGGATGAAGAGGGCAGACCACAGGGCTGGGATGCCACTCAGGGGCTGCTTCCACAGTTCCATGGTTGAAATGAAAAGACAGTGATCCTGAGAATGCAGAGAAAGGAGAGGTTTTAGAGATTTACAGGGTCAAGTCCATAAAACTCGACTCAATAGATGTGAGCAACTCAGCTGTGTGACCCCTTCCAGGTCTTGGCTCTGGGACCAAGGTGAATGGAGACGGCATATGACAAGGACACCTTTGCATCACTGGTTTTCAGTAAGATGTTTTGGAACCTCATGTGCTTATACCTCCCTGACCCCTAACCTCCCGCTCTGTAAACAGGCATCATCATCGTGGGTGTGCCATGAGCTGTCCATTAGGATTGGGACAGCTGTCAACAATGGCAGCTAAGATTCAACAGACCTGGACTACACGCAAGGGGCTGTTCCGAGCCCTTCCAGAGCTACAAACTCACTTAATCCTTGGGAGTTACACATTATTTTCTCATCTCACAGATGGCTAAATTGAGGCACAGAGAGATTAATTCTTTCAAAGTTATTCACAGTGAGTGGGAAAGCTGGGATTGAAACCTAGGAAGCCTAGAATCAGAGCCTGTGCATTTACAACAGTATTCTCTCTCCCCTTCACCCTCTTATGCACACACAGCCCCCAGTATACACCTGGTACCATCAAGACTTCAGAGTTTCCAGGCACTGGAGTGTGCTTGAGGGACAGAGAGGAGTATCAAGTTGGAGGTGCCTGTAGGTCATGTAGTGTGGGGACATCAAGAACACAGCTGGTAAACGCAGTGTCCTAAATGCTGAGGTCTGGACTGCAGCCGCACGCAGGTGCTGGAAGTTGAAGCCCAGGGGGTGGACAAGGCCACACGGAAACCTGGGAATGAGCAGGAAAAGGGCTGAGCGCCCCTGAGAGAAAACTTAGGAGAACGGTAGAGAGAATGAACCACAAGGAATGGGTTTAAAGAATTCACACACACAGGGCCAGGTGTGGTGGCTCACGCCTGTAATTCCAGCACTTTGGGAGGCTGAGGTGGGTAGATCACCTGAGGTCAGGAGTTCGAGACCATCCTGGCCAACATGGTGAAAGCCCATCTGTACTAAAAATACAAAAATCAGCCATGTGTGCCTGTAATCCCAGCTACTTGGGAGGCTGAGGCAGAAGAATCACTTCAACCCAGGAGGTGGAGGTTGCAGAGAGCCAAGATTGTGCCACTAAACTCCAGCTTGGGGGACAAGAGTGAGACCTCATTTAAAAAAAAAAAAACCTCATGCACACATCCACAACAGGTGCCACCCTGTTCCAAACACCTCTTGTGCCTTGTCCTGCTGAATGGGGCCAGACCAGAGGTGCCGCGTGCCCCTCTGGAGAGCGGAAGTGAAGGAGACAAGGCCACAGGCAGAGGGGAAGAAAAGAGGAGAGGGGAGAGTTACAGAGGCTTTGTTAAGTTAGGAGAACACATGTTGATGTGGAAGGAAATGAGAGGGAGACAGAAAGAGGTGGAGACACCTGGGAAGGGGCAGGCAGGGGTGGGGAGCTGCTGAGCAGGGGTAAAAGTGATGAGTAGGGGACAGCTCCTCCTGCCTGGCCTCACACAGGGAAGGTGCTGCATTTGCTGGTGACAGGGCGAGACAATGAAAAAGGGGACAGTCAGCAACCATATAACTGTTTGCAGGGCAGGGGTTGAGAGATTTCCTGTCTCTGGCTTCTCTCTCTTTGGAAACGGAGGCAAGGGGTCACTGGAGGAAGGGGACCATGAAGCAGGAGCAGCTGGGGGAGACCGAGTCCACAGCAGGCATCACTGTGAGTGGTGGGCGTGCCTAGGGAACCCAAGGCCCTGCGGGACACAGGCTGTGGTGGCCGCAGACCCTGCTCCAGCAGCAGCTCCGGGAATCGCCACCCTCACCTGTTCAGGACTTCATAGACTTCGGAAAGACTTGACACCCTCGGGAAATTCATCTCCTACAATTATGGAAAACCAGAGAAAAGCATTTGTGCTTTTGTTTATTCTGTTTTAGGCAGTACCAAATAGTCATTAAAACAGCCTGGCAAGTGCTAACTCCTGCAACCTCCTCTTCCTCTTATCCTTATTCCTTAGTTAGGATGTCGATGCCCAGTATCCCTGGGTTTCCTACAAGTGCTCCCAAAAACCCAGACTAGAAAAAAACTCTACACACAGCATCTCCCTTAGATGATGTATTTAAGAGATTATCTATAAACACAGGCAAGGACATACATGTAGAATACAGGCATTCTAAGGCCTAAAAGGCATTGGGGCAACGCCTAGTTACTAGACCCTAAGAGTTCATAGTAGCTGGAAGTACCCGAAGTACAAATGATAACAGCCTCTGGGCAGACAGACCACACCCCACTCCCATCTGTGGCTTCCTTCTGGGATGATTCACTCCAAGGGATCACCCTAAGGCTTCACAACATTGATCTGATGCCCCTTTCTCTGTTCTTCAGAACAGGGTCTTGCTCTGTTGCCCAGGCTGGAGTGCAGTGGTGCAATCTTGGCTTATTGCAACCTCCGCCTCCTGGGCTTAAGCGATCCTCCCACCTCAGCCTGCTAAGTAGCTGGGACTAAAGATGTGCACCAACATACACAGCTAATTTTTGTATTTTTTGTAGAGATGGAGTCTCATCCACATTGTTCAGGCTGGTCTCGAACTCCTGGGCTCAAACCATTCACCCACCTTAGCCTCCCAAAATGCTGGAATTACAGGTGTGAGTCACTGTGCCTGGCTATGCTAATTTCTAAGCAGCATTTAAACCAAATAGGTCTCTCTTCTCTACATATAGTGCATGGCCCTGACCACACAACAGAATCACCTGGGGAGCTTTAGAAATGCCACCTGGCCCCACTCTAGATCAGACAAGAAGCTACCATTGTGGTCTGGCTATCAGCATTTTCAACTTCCCACGTGATTCTAACGTGCTGTCAGGGCTGAGAACCCATGACTGTAGGGCTCAAGAAGACGTTTTTTCTCAAGATTTTTCAGGAGGAAACCCCCTCTACCCCGGTGCTCTTTATGCATGCTGCAAATATTCTCAAGGCATGCATCAAGTTCTAAAATAAGTTGTTCTGTTGTCTGACCTAAATAAGCACAAAGGACCAGCATGGTGGCTCACGCCTATAATCACAGCACTTTGGGAGGCCAAGGCGGGTAGATAACAAGGTCAGGAGTTCCAGACCAGGCTGGCCAGTATAGTGAAACTTCATCTCTACTAAAAATACAAAAATTAGCCAGGCATAGTGGTGTGTGCCTGTAGTCCCAGATACTCGGGAGGCTGAGGCAGAACAATCACTTGAACCCGGGAGGCGGAGGTTACAGTGAGCCAAGATAGCGCCACTGCACTCCAGCCTGGGTGACAGAGAAAGACTCCAACTCAAATCAGTCAATCAATAAGCACAAAAACTCTATACAAGTAAGTCAAAATGTGGGAACTTGAAAGGGAATAAAAGTCATACATAAGCTAATACGATGACTCACAGGTGCCAGCATACAAAAGGAAACACGCTGGTTTTATGAGAGAAAAGCATTCAAAGAACAACTTTAAAAAACGCAAGAGGAAGCTAAGCATTACTGGTGCAGACAAAGCAGTCCTTAACCCAAAGCAATTCTCTTCATTACCTTCCAGATATCCTTTGTTACATTCTTGGTATCAATGAGAACAGGAAACAGGCTGTGGATATTCTGCTTAAATTGATCATAGCTTTCTGAGGGGAAAAACCCAGGGAGTCAAGAGTGAATTTGTTTGTTGGTAAAAATGGGAAGGAACATTCTTGAACCTAGCTTGCCACCAGCACCGATTAGTAACACAAACTGAAACAAAACAGGAACTGAAAGCATCCTTCATCCTAGCCACTAAGGAGTTCTAAACTCTGATCAGCCTGCCATCACCACTTTTAATAGTAAGGGCCAAATGGTTTTGTTAAATTTAGGATGCGTTCTATTGCAAACTTTAGTTAATGTAGTTTGTCAAGTTCTAGCTGATGGGATAAGACTTTTAAAAATAGTGTACTATTTTTCAATACAGGCAGACATAAGGTCATTTGTAAATAACTGCTCAGAGAAAAATCTAAGAAAAAAAAAAAAAACAACTAAAAATTCTAATTAGTAAAGTGTCTTGATAAAAGATGATTACGTAAGAAAGAACTCAGTTGGTAGTTATCAAAGTTATACCTGCCTATCAAGAGGTTTACTGCAAAACACACATACCAAAAACAAAAACAAAACCCCGTAATCCTCTTCCTGCTACCATTCCATTTCTTACTCCCCAAAGGCAACCAGCTGCAATTCTTTTCCTTCCGGTACTTATCCCACCTCTCTAGCACACACAGGCTGCAGTGTCAAGACACTGCACTCCTGCCCTCCTGCCAGCTGAGAGGATAATGACCCCTCATTCCACCTCCACACACATGCCCAGCTCTACTGCCACATGCACGTCATTCACAGAAGGGTCTGTGGTGGCTATGATGACTTTTCCTTTCTTGCGCAGATTTTGTTCTCCCAGCGATTATTTTATTGTACTTAAGTTTTTTGGTGAATGCATATTATTAATTTCACTCCTGATTCTCCTCCAACTCTCTCAATATGCTCAAACTCAGGTGTTTTATCGTTTCTTGGGGAAATCGCTCATAAAACTTTCTTACCCCTTTTAACCTAGACTAGTGTTCTTTGCACATTAATTCATTTAATCTCAAAACAACTCTGATATTGGCACTATTATCCCAATCTTACAATTAAGGTAATGTCAGCTTGCTGGAGACTACACACATAGTGAGTGCCAGATGGGTGAGATCACCGAGGCTCGAGTCCCGACCTTTCCCCACTAGGCTGCACTGCTGCATGTCCAATAATGGAATCAACCAAGAAAAACCAGGGGACAGCCGTTAGACTCTCATACGATATTAAAGCGGCATTTATTGGTTTTTAATAACACAAAATAACACTTTGGGTAAGTGAAAAAAAGCCAAACAAAATCAAATATGTAAAAACTTAGGATTATAGCTGATCAAAGGTGACTTCTGACTTGAGACATTTCTGATTTTGCCAAGTTTTATACAATAATTCTGAACAGCTTCAGTAATGGGGCGAGGGTATCAATTCAAATTTAAGTTATTGCCCCCCTGACAAAGTCTCCTGGTTTTCCACTCTGGGGAGACAGTAACAGATCAGAGTACAGGCCTCTGCCTGAACTCTCCAGAAACCTGCAGATGCTGGGGAGAAATGTGCATGTTAGGGGATATGATTCTGGATGAATCCCTCTGTAGATGGAAAACTAGGATGAAGGAAGGGGAATGACAGGTGTGCCCCTACCTGGCAGGGGTCTGAAGAACTTCTCATGCAGGTACAGCAGGTCCATCATCATATTATGTCCCACTAAGGGCTATTTGGAATAAATTAACAGGTGAGAGAAAATAAAAAATGTCATACAGACAGTACAGACTAACAGTTTCTTGCTAAAGATGTAGCTTTAGGACCCACAGCAATTCTGATCACTTGACAATTCCATCCTAACCCCCCTTTGCCTCCATGAAAGGTAGTTCAAACATTTAAATGCTAACAAAAAGAAAAAAAGAAAACAATTCAACAGTAGGAGGCACGTAAGGCAGGTCGGTGCTAGAAATATGTACCGTGAAGCAGGCTCCTATAGTTTCCCCAAGTAGTTTCAGGTCAATTAAAATTGAAATTCCTGTGTTACAAAAGGGGCGAAGAATTCATACTGTTTCTTATGGATAATCTTGCCCCAAACTAACCTATTATGATTTGTGAAAGCAAGGTTACATCCAGGAAGCTAGTTATAAATGACAGGGCCAGGTGCAGTGGCTCATGCCTGTAATCCCACCATTTTGGAAGGCTAAGGCAGGCAGATCACTTAAACCCAGGAGTTCGAGACCACCCTGGGCAACACTGTGAGCTCCTGTTTCTACAAAAAAAAAAAAAAAAAAAAATTAGGTATGGTGGCATGTGCCTGTAGTCCCAGCTACTCAGGAAGCTGAGTAGGTCAAGGCTGCAGTGAGCCGGTTTCATGCCACTGCACTCCTGCCTGGGTGACAAAGTGAGACCTTATTCGAAAGTAGAACACAAAAAAATTAATGAGAAGGAACCACTTATCTTAAGGAATCTGATTTTATTATTGAAGGAGCCTTTAGTATGTATGACCAGAAATACAAAAGACTGCCTTTAGGCCAAGAAGAGAGACTTTTTTTTCCTACCTTCTGGGCTTTCACCAGCATATGGAAAAAGACAGAAAAACCCTTTGCAGAGAGAAGAATATTTTCCTTCCAACAGCTCTCTCGGTCACAAGAGGTGCTCTGAAGATACCAACGATGTTGCTTACTCACTTTCTTCACTATGACCTGAAAAGCAAGGACAAATTCCCTGAATCCTGGGTCACAGGGCATGAACCCTCAAGAAATGGTTCTGTATCTAAAAAGGAAAGGGGAAAAACTACAAGAGTTCGAGAGAAAAGCTTTTCAGAGGCCAGATTTAGCCAAATGAGAGAAAAACGATACAGCCACTGATGCCCGTTCTCACGGGAAAACTCACCCCGTCATCTTTCAGCACCGTCCAGATGTTGTGGAGGGCCTGCCGCAGCACCAGCTGCACCTCATAGGCCTGGAAGCCTGCAGCAGGGAAACAAAGGGGCACACAGTAAGTGGAACATGTGGCATGTTCCCCTCAAGAGAAGCCTGGAGGAGCGGAAGCTGAGAGATGGAGGGGTCAGGTAGAATGGCAGATGAAGGATGCCCAAGCCCACGAGCCATGTGGCAGGGCCTGGCCTGCCACGATGGGATCTAGGGCAGCATTCTAAGAGTTTCTGATCTTAGGGCCACTCTTGAACTGGGGATGCCAAAGAGTTTTGCATTGATGTGAATTACAGCTATTGACATTAACCATGTTAGACATTAAAACTCTTAACATTTAAAAAATGTTTTTTAAATAACAAAAACTCATTATATATGAACAAAAGTAACACTTACAAAACCTAACTATTTTCCAAAACAAATATTTGAGCAAGAGGAGTGACACCATTTTACATTTCTGCAAATCTCTAACATTTGGCTGGAACGTTCTATCAGAATCTGCACTCAAATCTGTTGTGATCCTTGAAACAAAAGAAAATTCAGCCTCAAGGCCGGGCGCGGCAGCTCACACCTGTAATCCCAGCACTTTGGGAGGCTGAGAAGGGCCCTGAGGTCAGGAGTTCAAGACCAACCTGGGCAACACGGTGAAACTCTGACTCTACCAAAAATACAGAAATGAGCCAGGCATGGTGGGGGCGGGGGGCGGGGGACTGTAATCCCAGCTACTTGGGAGTCCAAGGCAGGAGATTTGCTTGAACCTGGGAGGCGGAGGTTGCAGTGAGCCGAGATCCAGCCTGGGCAATAAAGACTCCATCTCAAAAAAATAAAATCCAGCCTCAAACAGATAAGTAGGTGGAAAAGGGAACAGAATTACTAGCCTTATCCAATGACTCTGAATATTCTTTAGAATTGCACCAAATTCAACAAGCGGTAGTTTCTTAACAAGCGGTAGTTTCTTAAAGATTAGTTGTAATGTGGAATCTGAAACCATCATTAGTTTCTCACTGACCTATCTCATACCTTGAATAGATCCCTTATCTGTGAGATAAGATAGTGCACAATAGTAGTATCATGTGCTAGTAATTTGGAAAACACTGGTTGGCAGGGTTATGCAGGTCTCCCAAATGTTCACACATTTTCTTACACAATATCAACAGAAGACAGTGAAAAATAGGATCACTCATCTCAACAGAAAGGTCATGGTACTGGGAAGCTGCCAAGCTTATGGTGAGTTCTTCAAAATTCCAGTTTTTGATTGAAAGCTATAATTTTATCACTAGGAAATACTGCAAGTTATCTTCCTTGAAGTGACAAGCTTTTTTTTTGAAAGTGTCTTGGTATGTCACTCAGGCTAGAGCCCAGTGGTGCCACCTTGGCTCACTGCAACCTCCGCCTCCCAGGTTCAAATGATTCTCCTGCCTCAGCCTCCGGAGTAGCTTAAGATTACAGGTGCCCGCCACCATGCCTGGCTAATTTTTGCATTTTTTAGTATGGGATTCTCACCATGTTGGCCAGGCTGGTCTTGAACTCCTGACCTCAAGTGATCATCTGCCTTGGCCTCCCAAAATGCTGGGATTACAAACATGAGTACCTATACCTGGCCAACAGGCTTTTTTTAATTGATAAAATTGTTGTGAAACCTTCAAGTCTAAGTAACCAATCAGTTCTTTCCAGTAAAAATGACATTTCGTGTGGCCAGGTGCAGTGGCTCATGCCTGTAATCCCAGCACTTTGGGAGTCCAAGGCGGGAGGATCATCTGAGGTCAGGAGTTCGAGACCAACCTGGCCAACATGGTGAAATCCCATCTCTACTAAAAATGCAAAAATTAGCTGGGTGTGGTGGCGGATGCCTGTAATCCCAGCTACTCAGGAAGCTGAGGCAGGAGAATCGCCTGAACCCGGGAGGCAGTAGTTGCGGTGAACTGAGATCATGCCATTGCACTCCAGCCTGAGAAACAAAAGTGAAATTCCAGCTAAAAAAACACAAAAATAACATTTCATGAAAACAAAAAAAAAAGCAGCTAATTCATCTCTCAACTCAAAAAAGCTGCATATTCACTTTTCCTTGACACAACTGCTGTATTTTGGCACACAGCCAATGTTTTATGCATACTTATTATATATTGACATTTTTTTTAAATGAGTAATCAAAAGATTGAGATTTAATACAACCAAGAATATTACTTTTTCACCAAGGAGGCTGCTAGTAGGATTAGCTTTTCTGTTTTTAACTGAGACTAAGTGGTAGCGAAGAGCACGGTCTGATGCTCCTGCCTCAACGTGTGCTGAGGTACGAGCAGGCCTGTCTAATATTGCTTGGGCACCAATGCAAATGGCACAATAACAACAGCAAGGGACCGCAGAGGGATATGTGGAAAATTGTTTTGACCTCACAGACCCATTGGAAAGGGTCCCAGAGACTCTAGGGTCCAGAGCAACCTCCGATTGCTGCTAAGCTACGACTGAGTTCACTGTGGCTTCACACCACACAGTGGGGGAAAAACTCAGATTAACAAAAGTCAAAATAAGAACAAAGGGCACCCAGGACTGAGATAAAAGGGGTGGCTCATGAATGGAACTTGACTTTCTCAGCCTTGAAACTCAAAGTATGTTGAAAAGCCTTTAACCTTTGAATGCAGGTCAAAGCTTTATCTAACCACAAAGACTACAAATCTGCATCAGACTCAGTCATGATGCATTTGGGATCAGGATTCCAAGAGAGGGTGTGTTTCCTCCAAATTCCAGCAGATAACAGTGACCTGTCCCAATGCTCCTGCACTGGGAGGCACAGCCCCTGCCTACCAACAATCCCAGGAAGAGTCATCCAGTCGCCTTCCTTGGCCAGGTCTAGCCATCGAGTCACTTCATCAATCACCACCTTGATTTGGTCTTTATCCAGAGAGCTGAAAATGGGTGCATCAAAGTGAAAATGTCAGAGAAAAACACACCAGAACTGCAAGACTAAGTCAACACGAGAGCACTTTCTCAGCCCTCTGGTGCTCATACTGCAACGTATAAAGAAAATGGACCAAAAGAAGACTGTTTCTTCTCTGAGGCTCTTATGCAATAGGAAGCCAAATGGTAGGAAGAATAGCCCACAATCTTCCACAGGTTCCAGGGATACATTCCACCCCCACCTGCTTCACTAGATGTATGGAGGAAAAGCTATCAGTAACTAAGCAATGCCAAGCACTGCTATCAGGACAGTCTTCTTTATTCAGCTTTGGGGGGTGATAAAGTCCTATGTGGAAAAATAAGGAAAAGATAAGGACTTTGGTAAACACATTGTCTCTTGCGTCAGAAACAGAAGAACATAGTATCAATGAGATAAGGAAAGGCCTTTCTCCAACTCTTGAAAATAAAAGAAGTTTAAAAATTCAACTTGTTTTTCCCTTACAAAACTCTACATTTTTATATGAAAACCAGCAATAAAAACACAAAGAGACAAAAATTCCTCCAACATAACAGAATTATCTGGAAGAGATCATCACTCATCGTATTTCAGATGTTCATGTAATCTCCTCCTTTCTGATAAAGGCAGAGAGCTTCCATGACTTGCTCAAATGCACAACTGAGCTGCCCCCGCCCGTCTCCCCACATTGCTGTTGCTCTCACTGTGGTCACTCCTGACCCCAGCTCTACAGGAATATGAGGTTTTGGAGACTCGGGCTGGCACAGAGAACCAAAGTAAAAAGGCAGAGGCCCTGCCCATGGGGAGCACAGTTAGTCACAGCAGGGCAGACACAGCCTAACCAAGGTGCACATCTGATGCCAGTGCCCAGGATGACTGCCACAGTCAAGGCTGCCTGTGAGATATGCTTGAAAAATCCTTCAGAAGATCAGATAGAAGATCAACATAACATCTCATAGCAAGTCCAACAGAGCCATTTCTTCCCCTCTAGCACTGGAATGGAATTCTTGTTTGAGTTCCAAATTAGGAGTCAGTTTTTCTTTCTTTTTAGACACTGAAACTCACACTTGATGCAGTGAGAGGTTCATGAGGGAGCAGAATACGATGGAGACAGGTGAAAGCCATTCTCAGCTCAGGTAGAGGCAGCTGAGGCCATCCCCGCCATGCATGGATGGAGGTCACCACAGCCCTGGAAACAGCATGCCCGCCCACAGGAAATGCAGACAACAGCAACAAGGAAACCAAAAGGCACCCGGAGAAACAGGCCATACCTGCGAACTTTCCAGTTCCCACTCAGGATATCATGTCTAATCTTCTTCTCCTGTTCTTCATTCATATATGGGATTCCGTTTTTGAGAAACTTAAGACAGAAACAGAGCAAGAAACACAATAAGGAGACAAGTCAGCGGTACCCTCTGTGCTGAGTAAAGAGGTAGCCTCTGTGCCTGATCCCTTGAGGACAGGTAGTAGGGGGAAAGGAAAAAACAGGCTGTATAGGCCAGTTAGTCTAGATCACTTTTAAGACATTCCCATGCCAGGTGGGTGGCTCACGCCTGTAACCCCAGTACTTTGGGAGGCCGAGGCAGGTGGATTGCTTGAGGTCAGGAGTTCAAAACCAGCCTGACCAACATGGTGAAGCACCATCTCTACTAAAAACACAAAAAGAACTAGCCAGGCATGGTGGTGGGTGCCTGCAATCCCAGCTACTTGGGAGGCTGACGCAGAAGAATCACTTGAATCCAGGAGGTGGAGGTTGCAGTGAACCGAAATCACGCACTCCAGCCTGGGTGACAGAGCGACACCCCATCTCAAAAACAAGCAAAAGGAATTCCTGTTCCCCTCTTCCAATGCCATACCTTGTTATAGTTGAAGCCATACTGATTCAAAAACTGAACACTGGAAGCCTGGAAAGAGAATTCTGAGTCCAAAATCCCAAATGTTGTAGGGAAGAGAAAGAAGTTACACGAATGGGCTACGTACCTATAATAAAAGAAACATACAGAGAAAAAGCCACAACCACTTAAAAAAAACTGGCTCCCAGGGCAGGCTTCTCGGGGGGCTCTTTCTTTTAGGTGAGAAGAATCTGAGTGTGCCTAAGTGTCTGCTGTTTCAGGAGCTATGATTGGCACTGGTAGGGGGGTCAGCTAAAGGAAAAAGGCAGAGATCCTGCCCTCAGGGCTAGGGTCTACCACAGAGACAGCCCTCCACAGGCCCCCCAGGGATGCCGGGTCAGCATACAGGCTGGCACCCTCAGCTGCTCATGGGGGGTGGGGAGGCATCCTGAGAGCTGGGACATCCTTTCTGCCTATTGCACCAGGTAGTTTAAACATCACTGTCATCATACCATGATGTGTCAGGTGTTTTTATTAATATAGGTGCACACAGGAGATGATGGAAATGGGGAAAGGAACACCTAAGGTACAGAGTGAAACTGGTGGAAAAGGCCCCACGGGAAAGGTACTGCTTCCAGAGAGATGTCAAAGACAAGCCAGAATCCGCAGAGGGCAGAGCGAGCAGAGGAAAAGACAAGGAGAGAATATGGAACATTCAGGGCTAAAGTGGTTGGGGCACTTGAGGCAGAATCTGAAGGGGGCAGCTGTGGAACATGGGTGGACAAGCAACATCCTTTGCAGAAACTCTTGATACATACTTGTTTTCTTCTCCTTCAAGAGCGGAGAACATAGACAATCCTGGAAGAATGACCATAGAGGGAATGAATGCCAAAGAAAAGCAACCTCAAATTCACTACACAGACAAAACAATTCAAACAGTACCTTGTGCCCTGATACTATGTGAGCTGTCCAACAGGATGACATCTTTAATCACCAACAAAAAAGAACAGACTGGAAGCATGAGAAATGTCAAATTGTAACTCACACTGAATTTGCTAAAATGTAATTTGTGGCCTGTTCTTCAATCATAGAAATTTTTTTTTTTTTTTTTTGAGACGAAGTTTCGCTCTTGTTACCCAGACGAGTAGAATCGCGTGATCTTGGCTCACCACAACCTCCGCCTCCTGGGATCAGGCAATTCTTCTGCCTCTGCCTCCTGAGTAGCTGGGATTACAGGCACGCGACACCGTGCCCAGCTAATTTTTTTTTTGTATTTTTAGTAGAGATGGGGTTTCACCATGTTGACCAGGATGGTCTCGATCTCTTGACCTCGTGATCCACCTGCCTCGGCCTCCCAAAGTGCTGGGATTACAGGCTTGAGCCACCGCGCCCGGCCTTATAGAAGTAAATATTAAAGGGACATTCTCATAGTTTTAAAATTAACCAGAGAAAATATCAAAAACCATTAAGATTTATGTATTTAACTCGTTTAAAATGTCTGTTCTTCCTCTCTCAAATAAAATCACACACAAAGTAAAAAAGAGACTTCAGGCTGGGTGCGATGGCTCATGCCTGTAATCCCAGCACTGTGGGAGACCTAGGCAGATGGATCACTTGAGGTCAGGAGTTCGAGACCAGCCTGACCAACATGGTGAAACCCTATCTCTACTAAAAATACAAGAATTAGCTAGGTGTGGTGGTGCATGTCTGTAGTCCCAGCTACTCAGGAGGTGGAGGCAGGAGAATCACTTGAGCCTGGGAGGCAAGTGGGTTGCAGTGAGCCAAGATCACACCACTGCACTCCAGCCTGGGAGACAGAGCAGGACTCCGTCTCAAACACCACCCCCCCCCACCCCGCCCAAAAAAAACAAGGGACTTCAAATTTGGTACAATAATGGAAACATAACTACAACTGTTTTCCATACTTCTCAAAGAGGTCTTATCATTAAAAATAAACAAACAAAAAAAATCATAACAGAAAAGTAGCAAAGGATCAGGCTAGAGAGGAAAGACATACAGCATGATTCGTAGTAAAAGGAGGGGTTGGACATGGCAGCCGGATCTCAGCCTCTACTTGAGAGGCTGAGACTAGAGGATCTCCAGAGCCCAAAAGTTTGGGCCCAGCTTGGGCAACACAGCAAAATCCCATCTGGGTGGGGGGGAGGCATTGACAAACCCAGAAAAGTAAAATCTGGTCCAGGGCTTTTCTGTAAACATAACATTTTACTGGAATGGAGCCATGCTCATTTGCTCATGTATTATCTACACCTAATTTCACATTACAAAAGCAGCACTGAGTAGCCGTAAAAGAAACTGCATTATGCAACTGTTAAAATGAACAGATCTGTTTTGACCAGCCTGGCTAACACGGTAAAACCCGGTCACTACTAAAAATACAAAACTTAGCCAGGCCTAATGGTGGATGCCTGTAATCCCAGCCGCATGGCAGGCTAAGACAGGAAAATCGCCTGAACCTGGGAGGAAGAGGTTGCAGTGAGTCAAGATACACCACTGCCCTCAAGCCTGGGCAACAGAGCGAGACTCCGTCTCAAAAAATAAAATCAACAAACAGATCTGTATGAGCTGACAAAGATCTCCAAACCTCATCAAGGAAAAAATAAAAGTTTCTGAAGCTGAGATGACCTTAAACAAATTTGTGTATCTTTAAAAAAAAAATTAAAAAAATCACAGGCCAGGTGTGGTGGCTCATGCTTCCAATTCCACCACTTTGAGAGGCAGAGACAGGATTGCTTCAGCCCAGAAAGTCAAGACCAGCCTGGGCACTATGATGAAAACCCATCTAAACAAAAAATTTAAAAATTAGCTAGGTGTGGTGGCGAGCCTGTAATCCTTGTTTACTCAGGAGGTCAACGTCCTAGGATGACTTGAGCCCAGGAGGTCTAGGCTGCAGTGAGCTGAGACCACGCCACTGCACTTCAGTCTTGGCGACAGAGCAAGACCCTGTCTCAAAAAATAAAAATCACACACACACATTTTTACTTGAGAGTAACTGATTGTTCCTTAACACTCCCTTATTTAAGCATGGAAACAATGCTGCTAAATTTTGTTTGCTCCAAAATGTTGATTCCATATGCATAAAATGGCCCAAAACAAGCATACAAAACGATACTCAATATCCTTGAAAAATCTCAGCTGTTTTTACACAAAACCCAAAGACAATAAAAATGCCTTCTTGAAAAATTCAAACATCTAGATACTAAACTCACCGATCTGACAGATTGTAAATTGCTGAACGCTCTGGCGGGTCTTTAGATACCACTCCGACGGCAAATCAAAAAGACTGTGAACAAACAGGCATCTCATTCCACGGGCAGTGACATACCAGCCCCGCACTATGGCCTCTGCGGCTGATCACCACTCACAACCGGGAAACATTTTTTCCTTTTTACAACTAGGGAACACCACCAGCATGTTGTGGCCAAAAGCGAGGTCCCCCAATACGCGGGAGCAAGCCACACAAAACGTCCTGCCCCCCAAATGCCAACAGGCCGCTGACCAAAACGATGCTGGTCTGGCCAGGATCTCACACAGAAGGGACACAGCTTTAGTTTTACCTGATCTGGGGTCCAGACAGGTTAGAACGAAGGCCCGTGAATTCTATGTCCAGACCTGCCAGAAGGCAAAAAAAAAAAAAAAAATACCAGTCCTCGGGTGCAGACCATCGCTAGCACTCTTCACATTGTAAATCTGCAGGCAGCCAACGCACCCGGGCTCACCTCCCCGCTCAAGAAGCCAGGTGAGGAGGAACCGAGGCAAGGAGCCGCCAGCCGCCACTGCCACTGCCCCCTCCCCTCCCCCAACCCCGGGGTTGCACCTGGGCGCACCGGGCTCTGACCAACGAGCCACGAGGGGCTCGGAGTGTACTTGCTGCTCAACGTCCCACCGCCCCTGGGGCCGGAGAAGTAAGCCCCCTGTCCTTCCCGAGGCCCTTTCTGAGCCCCTGCAGCCTGGTAACCGTCCACCACCCACTCCCCAAGCTCGCCCGGGGCAAGGGGCTCTGTCACGCACAGCTGGGAACCCCAGGTGCCTCACCCACGAAGTCCGACTCATGGAGAAGCTCTTGCAGCAGAGGGAGGCTCTCCTCGAACTCCTTGGCACCCACGTCCATGGCCACGCAGCCGCACTGAGGCACCCAGCGTTGTCACGCGCTTCCGCTGCACCGCCTGGTCTTAAAAGGCGCACGCGTAGAAAACAGGCAGCCGCCTACGCCCCACGTGCCCGGTTCCTCCCTGTGGGGCTGGCGTCGCCCACACCTGCCTGCGAGTTTTTTGATTGTACAATTTGCTACAAAGGTGAAGGTTGCTTGCTGTTTACCTGGCTCCTTAGTAATTTATTTGCAGCCTCAGCAATTTATTTGCAGCCCTTAACGTGAGAAGGTCATTTACATAGACGAACGTTTAAGAGGTGTGGCAGGAGGAAAAGACAGTCCCCCGGAAGAGTGAAAGCAGAAAAGAGAATAAGGAACAACTCCGTCGGAACTGCAACAAACAAATCCTTCGCTTTGGCTCACGGTCTTCTAAATCACTTCTTCCCAACTTCTCCAACTCTGCCAATATTGGTCTGCCCTTATGCCCTTTCCCACGGCCCTGGACATCTTTTTCCTCATTCTGCTGTCCACCTTACTACTGTCTTGACACCAGCAATCAAACTTTGCAAAGCCTCAAGAACTGCCCACTACATGGAAGGAATCCTTGGTCCCCGCGGATTATCTTGTGCACTCACTCCTTGCCCAAACCCTACCTACAACATCACTTACAGGTGAGCCCACTGTTTACTTGTTACTGTTTCCAGTGCCACTAGTCCATGGTCTTCCTTACAGTGTCCTCCCTTGAATCCTAGGCTATTTGAACATTGTTTTGGAGCTGTGGTTCTCAAAGTGAGGTGCTCCAATCCACCTTTAAGGTTAGGGGAGAAAACATTACATTTTTTAAATCTTTTACCTTTTTTGAGACAGAGTCTCGCTCTGTCACCCAGGCTGGAGTGCAGTGGTGACATCTTGGATCACAGCAACCTCCACTTCCTGAGTTCAAGGGATTCTCCTGCCTCAGCCTCTGGAGCAGCTGGGATTACAGGCATGCACCACCACACCCAGCTCGTTTTTAGTAGACAGGCTTTCACCATGTTGGCCAGGCTGGCTCCTGCCTCTGCCTCCCAGAGTGCTAGGATTACAGGTGTGAGGCACTGCATCCAGTCTTCAATTAAACTTTTAAATGCCTCCCCTGGGACATTAATTAAGCAGAAGGGGACTATTAAGCCATTCAATTCTGAAGGCCTCTCAACCAATCACACTTTTAAAAAATGGTGCATACAGTTCTCTCTTCTATTTAAAACAACACACTTAATACTCAAATTGGGAGAAGTAACATTTCACTTCTAAACAAATACGTAATTGGGGTATACATTTAAAAACTTAGAAACAATGCCCTAGAAGCTACCTTAACTGCCTACAGGTTTTTTTCTCACATTTATCAAATAGCCAAAAATTAACACCTTAATCAGCTCCTTCCAGAGAACTGCCATAATTGCCATCTACCCAAGCTCAAATTTTAGATTAACTTGCATGCATTTCAAGCTTCATCTCCTACGTAGTAAAATGTTTGCTTCATGACCGATTGAGCACCCATTAGCTCCATCCATTTCCATCTCTGCTTTTAGCTCCTCAAAGCACCTCCTTCCTCTTTCAAATTTGTTTCTCTTACTGTTGAGAACAAAGAGTCCAAGTGAGGTTGACATTTGGTCCTTTGATCTTCACATACTGACTGTTCTATAATAAACTTAAACTGATACTGACATTTCCTATTTTAGAAAACACCCCACACTCTGAGCAGCAAACTATCATTCACTGAGATCACTCGTCATGAGCCAGACGTGGTAATAAGTGGTTCACAGAAATCTCATATGTGCTCCGCTGCCACAGTAAGCTCAAAGACAGAAAATGTCATATAAACTGAAAATAAGAGTTCATAATATGCCTTTATTTTGTAATTTATAAACAACTTCTGACTTGTCCTTTGAAAGTTAATTATAATTGATGACTGCTTTTCTTAGATCTGTTTCAAGTCCAAGAGAGGGGCAGATTGCAGTTATTGATTTAAAAAACAGAAAGGAGGAGGATGACCTTAACTACAAATAATACTCCACTGTGACATTACTGCTGTAAAACTTCCATGCTGGCTGTTCTTTCAGATGTTCTCTTTTGATGGCTGTAGTAGTTGACGGTTTTACATGTTCAAAACAATTAATGCTTCCATTTATTCATAGATTCTCCGAGGTTCCTGTAGAACCACACCACCTTCTGTCATGGCACTTTGTAGTCGTTTCATCTGGGTTTGAGGATCAGTAAAAAAGGAAAAGATTAAGTCTGCACCACAAGTAGGCTGAACATACTTTCACTTTCCAAAAAACAAAAAAATTGATTTGTTCTTCCTACCTTCCCAGCCTACAATGGTTTCTCAGAAAGTGATCTTAATAATTACATAGGTAAGGACAAAGGAAATGTAGAGATGTCAAGGTTCAGCAGCATTTCAAAATATTATACGGACAAGATGTCAGCATATGAACAGGAAACACAGCGGCTGACATCATGGGCCACAGAATCATTCACCCTGGGTTTGAAATCCACCATACGCTGTCTCGGGGCAAGTAAGCCTCAGTTTATTCTGTACAGATTGGGAATACCAGTCCCTACCGTATGGACTGATGTGAGGATTAAATGAAGTAACACTGCTGAGGTACTCACCAAAGGGTCTGACACATGGAAAAGTACTTGGTAAATAAAAACTGTTATTCTTATATAAGTTACCTAATGACAAGAATTAACATAATACCTTTTAAATAAATATATGAAAACAAAATTACCGAGTCTGAAGCTGCCTCCCATGGCGTTGGTTGGTAGACCATGAAGTTGATTCCCGCCTCTAAGCATCTCTGTGCCAGCACTCGGCCTACGCTCTCACAAGCCACCACATTTCTCGTACTATAAAGGTACTTTTTAATAGCCCATTCTCGAGTGGATGCTGAAACCACAACCTTGCCATTTTGATGCTCCACAAATGCTTCTACATGATGCTGAGTCCTTATAACTCGCAACCTAAATGGGGTGAGAAGATAAAATCATAATCTGTATCTTAACGTTACTTTCAGGTGAATAAATGACTAAATATTTTTTAACAATCCAGTGTTTGGTTAATTTACTTCAAGATATTTAACTTGGATTTTGCTTGGGAGAAGTTTTTCCTCCACCTTTATGAGAATATCCTTAATAACAAACTGAATAGTTCCACTTAACCTCAAGTATCATGAAGACATTTGTTTCTGAAGAGCTGTTTTATTTACGTATCTACTTCAAAAAGGGATTTGAAGAGGTAGAACTAACTTACTAAACATACACAGGATGTGGATATACTTACTCTTTGCTTTTATTTTATAGCTAGCACCAAAATAAATGTAAAATGGAGCAAAAATTTAAATGTAAAAACTGAAATAACAGTACTAGAAGAAAACATGGGAATTGTTTTTATAATCTCAGGGTAAGCATATTTAAATATGACATCAAACCATTTCATATGGCTTTTATTATTATTATTATTATTTGAGATGGAGTTTCGATTGTTGTCCAGGCTGGAGTGCAATGGCGAGCGATCTTGGCTCACTGCACCCTCCACCTCCCGGGTTCGAGTGATTCTCCTGCCTCAGCCTCCCAAGAAGCTGGGATTACAGGCATGCGCCACCATGCCAGCTAATTTTGTAGTATTTTTAGTAGAGACAGGGTTTCTCCATGTTGGTCAGGCTGGCTGCGAACTCCCAACCTCAGAAGTTCCACCTGCCTCAGCCTCCCAAAGTGTTGGGATTACAGGCGTGAGCCACTGCACCCGGCCTGGCTTTCATTATTTTTTTTAGAGACAGGGTCTCACTCTGTCACCCAGGTTGGAGTACAGTAGTGTAACCACAGCTCACTGTAGCCTCAAACTCCTAGGCTCAAGCAACCCTCCAGCCTTAGTTTCCCAAGTTGTTGGCATTACAGGTACATGCCACTGCACCAAGCTAATTTTAATTTTATTCTGTAGAGACAGGGTCTCACTATGTTGCCCTGGCTGGTATCAAACTCCTGGCCTCAAGTGACCCTGACCCTCCCTTCTCAACCTCCTAAAGCACCAGGATTATGGGCATGAGCCACTGGGCCCAGCTTCATATGGCCGATTTTTTTTTTTAAGACAAGATCTGCCTCTGTCACGCAGGGTGTAGTACAGAGGCACAAACTTGACTTACTGGAGCCTCTTGCCTCCTGGGTTCAAGCCATTCTTCCACCTCAACCTCTCAAGTAGCTATGACTACAGGTGCATGCCACCACACCCAGCTACTTTTTATATTTTTTGTAGAGACAGGCTGGACTCCAACTCCTAAGCTTAAGCAGTCTGCCCACCTCAGCATCCCAAGTGCTGGGGTTACAGGCTGAGCCAGCATGCCCAGCTCTTCATATGGCATAAAAAAAGAAATGACAGACAAAATTTCCTGCATGGTTAAGAAAAAAGTAAAATGAAGTCAAAAGAAAAGCAATGAAACAAAAAATATTTTAGGCTGGGTATGTGACTCATGCTTATAACCCCAGCACTTTGGGAGGCTGAGGCTGGAGGACTGCTGGAGCCCAAGAGTTCAAGACCAGCCCAGAAAACATAGTGACACCATGTCTCTACAGAAAAATAGAAAAAATCAGCCAGGCATGGTGGCATGCACCTGTAGTCCCAGCTATTTGGGAGGCTGAGGTGGGAAAACTGCTTGAGCCTGGGAGGTTGTAGCTGCAGTGAGCCGTGATCATGCCGTGTACTCCAGCCTGGGAGACAGAGTAGAACCCTGTCACAAAAATATTAAGACAAAACTTCGAAGGCAAAGCATTATCTGAACAGACTGTTCACAGAAAAAAATATTAATGACTCACACTCATAAAAATATGCCCAATCTCACTAACAAAATGCATGGGCAAGACACTTCATTGCAACACTGTAATCATAAAAGATAATCATCCACTGGGGGCCAGTTAAGTAAAATCCATGCAATAGTATTCCATATAGTTAATGAAATGAAGGAAGTAATGCTTTATAATGATGATGACAATAGTTAACATTTACTGAGCACTTACTATACGCCAGGCCGGTCTTAAACTGTTAGGTTTGTAAATATAGCTTATGTCTCAATTCTATTATTTTTTCTAAAGCTGCAGAAACTAACACAGAAGGGTTAAGTAACTTGAAAATGATTAGAACTAGTAAGTAATGGAGCCATTGGTTTAAGTCCCAGTGTGTGGCTCCGGAGTCAATGCTCTTAACTGCCCTGAACAATCTCCAAGATGTATTTTTAAGTGCGTGCTTGAGGTGGTTGTGAAGAAAGTTGCCAACGTGTTTATGGTATGCTAAGATTTATGATTTTTAAAAGTTTTTGCTTATTTGCATAGACTATCTCGAGAAGGACACACAAGAAACTGTACTCCCTTTGGATTTTATAACATATATACATATTATACTTTAGAAAGTTAAGTTTAAGAAAACACACCCAAATCAGAAGAGTCTCACTAGGATTCTTATGTGAAATAGAAAACCCATTAGATTTAGAAATATGGATTCTACTCCTGGTTTTCCTGGTGGCTCTAGTAAAAATCATAGTCTCTTAAACCAGGAGTCAACAATCTTTTTTTACAAAGTGCCAGATAGTAAATATTTTACGTTTTGTAGGCCATACAGTTTCTGGTGAAACTGTTCGACTCAGCCAATGTAGTACTAGAACAGCCAGTTGATCTGTAAACAAATGAGAATGGGTACAGCTATGTTCTAAGAAAACTTTCTTTGTGGACAATTAAGTTTGATTTTCATTTAATTTTCACAAGTCACAAATGATTCTTTTAATTTTTTTCTTTCTTTTTTTTTTGAGACGGAGTTTTGCTCTCACTACCCAGGCTAGAGTACAATGACGTGATCTTGGCTCACCACAACCTCCACCTCCTGGGTTCAGGCAATTCTCCTGCCTCAGCCTCCTGAGTAGCTGGGATTACAGGCACATGCCCCCATGCCCAGCTAATTTTTTGTACTTTTAGTAGAGATGGGGTTTCACCATGTTGACCAGGATGGTCTCGATCTCTTGACCTCGTGATCCACCTGCCTCGGCCTCCCAAAGTGCTGGGATTACAGGCTTGAACCACCGCGCCTGGCTGGCTCTTTTAATATTTTTTAACTTAAAAAAGTGAAAACAATTTTTTAGCTCACAAGCTACCTTTAGCCCACAGGCCATAGTTTCCTGACCCCTGTCTTGAACTATTTCAAAGAAGGGCCTGATTCATTATGTCAAGGTCATTTTCTACCAAAATATTCTAAAATATTGTGAGTAGGGCAGACAGAGAAAAAATGAGAAGACACATCTCTAGTTGTTTAAATGATCCAAATATGAAGTGAAAGGAATATGTTGGGGCCAGGTGCAGTAGCTCACGTCTACAATCCCAACACTTTGGGGGGCTAAGCCAGGCAGATCTCTTGAGCTCACCAGTTTGAGACCAACCTTTTCAATGGCAAAACCCCATCTTTACAAAAAAAAAAAATACCGAAAAAAACAAATTAGCTAGGCATAGTGGTATGTGCCTGCAATCCCAGACACGCAGGAGGCTGAGCTGGGAGAATTGTTTTGAGCCTGGGAGGTGGAGGTTGCAGTGAGTCAAGATCACACCACTGCACTCCAGCCTGGGTGACAGAGCCAGATGTTGTCACAAACAAAACAAAACAAATTAGGCAGGTGTAGTGGCATGCGCCTATAGTCCCAACCACTCAGGAAGCTGAGGTGGGAGGATTGCTTGAGGCTGGGGAGGTCAAGGCTACAATGAGCAGAGATCATGCCACTGCATTCTAGCCTGGGCAACAGAGCCAGATCCCGTCTCAAAAACAAAGAAAAAAGAAAGTAATAGGTTGGGTGTTTCAAAAGATTTTTAGCCTTCAGATTCAGATTATTTAAAAATTGAGGGCCAAGCACAGTGGCTCACGCCTATAATCCCAGCACTTTGGGAGGCCGAGGCAGGTGGATCAAGAGGTCAAGAGATCGAGACCATCCTGGTCAACATGGTGAAACCCCGTCTCACAAAAATTAGCTGGGCATGGTGGTGCACGCCTGTAGTCCCAGCTACTCGGGAGGCTGAGGCAGGAGAATTGCCTGAACCCAGGAGGCGGAGGTTGCGGTGAGCCAAGATCGCGCCATTGCACTGCAGCCTGGGTAACAAGAGCAAAACTCCGTCTCAAAAAAAAAAAAAAATTGAATTTTTCTATTTTTAGTAAAGACAGGGTTTCTTCACTATGTTGGCCAGGCTGGTCTCAAACTCCTGACCTCAGATGCTCTGCCTGCCTCGGCCTCCCAAAGTGATGGGATTACAGACATGAGATTCTGCCCCGGCCAGAATGATCTTTAAAAACCAGTTCTGGCTCAAGCTTTAAATCCTCTCGTAGTGTCCCACACAATGAAAATAAACTCTAAAATGCTTATCTTGATTTACAAAGCCAATCATCTGTCTCCTCCTTACCCCTCCACGTTCATCTTAGGCCATTTACCCTCTGCTCACTTAACTTCAGAACCACAAGCCCTTCAGTTCCTCAAACACCCCAGGTCATTCCCACCCCAGCAGTTTCCTCGGCTTGGAGTGCTCTTTCTGATAGATGACTCGGCTTCTTGCTCTAAGATTTCAGCTTTTTAAATGTCACCTCCTCAGACAGGCCTTAGTAGGTACCCCGTCCTCTGTTGTAACTTCTTCTTTAAACGTCCCCCATCACACTTAGGTATTGTTAGTTCCAGCCCCTCCGCTAACCCCGCCTCTACTCGCAGCAAGGCAGCTTCCAGGGAGAGTGCCTGGCGTTGAATGAATGAATGAATGAATGAATGCAAACAGTCTGTAGAGTGCAGTGTCCTGCTCTGTCAATCACAAGCAGACTTAATTACCTGTGCCAGAACTCACGGGAGGGCCACACCGTCCGCCAGCCCCGCTCTTTCCTGGCTACAGATAAGAGCTCCAGGTTCCGGGGGTTCCGGTTGGTGAACTCTGGGGCAACAGCCTCCTTTTCCACAGGGTCCACTTCCGGTTTCGCCGCTGGCTCGGAGCTGGTTGAGAGAGCTGCGAACCCGCACCCTGGGCAACGGAAACAACCGCAAGGGGCTTAAAAATGATGGATACAGACAGCGCACGAACCTGCTCTAATGTCTATCCCCATTCACATCCCGAATCTTCAGGCCGGGGAAGGAGGACGAAAAACAAGTATGCCCACGGGGTGGAGTCAGCACTGGCCCGGTCCTTAACTTCCTACTGTGGTCCTCCTACTGCCGTGAGCTCCAACACCTTTCGATCCGGCACGTCGAACGCACAATAGAACCCGCACGTTCCAATGTACTGTGCAGGCCCTGGCGACTGAGCTGGGAGAAGGGGGACGAGACCAATTACCAGGGTTCCTGCAAACCGAGGACAACCCCCAGAACCGCGACCGAAGCGCCATCGCTGAGACGATCTCGGAAAAGCCTGGCCTCCCTTTCCTCACGGATGACTCGGTCGCTCGCCGGCCGCAGCCATATCAAGTGAGGGAAAAGCCTTTGGCCCCTGTAGGTCCCCGAACTCTCCACGCCAGACGCTCTCGACCCGGAAGCAGCCAGTCCCCGGCCACTGAGTGGCCAAGAGTGCGATCCGTTATCCCGCACCGCCAATCACCGCTCACGTCGAGGGGCACGCAGGCCCTGGAGCCCACTAACCACCTCGTAGCAACGCCCACGACCACGCGTTTTGCTTAAGTTCAGGATCAAAGGCACTCACAACTTCACGTCACCATACTTGAGTTTCTCGTGGAGTTTGGGCAGTCATTGCCTGGCCCACACACACCCCAACAGGGCACCGCTTAGAACTCCGGCAGGGCAAGATGCAGTTCTCTCCTTAAAAAAGGGTGGTTGTCTTCCTCGAAACAAAAATTTTCCCTTTTGGCCGGCTGGAAGAACTGCCTCCTCTCACCCAGGTTTGTGCCGCTAAACTTATGCTCCTGAGGGCTGGAGCAAAGCCTGCCGATCTGCCTCACGCTCCCCGGATAGGGACAAGAAAAAGACACTAAAGCTGGCCGGTCGCGGTGGCTCACGCCTGTAATCCCAGCACTTTGGGAGGCCGAGGCGGGTGGATCACCAGGTCAACAGATCAAAAATCAGCTGAGCACGGTGGCGCATGCCTGTAATCCCAGCTACTCAGGAGGCTGAGGCAGGAGAATTGCCTGAAGCCAGGAGGTGGAGGTTGCGGTGAACCGAGATCACGCCATTACACTGCAGCCTGGATAACAAGAGCAAAACTCTGTCTCAAAAAAAAAAAAACACTAAAGCTAAAACGGAAGACTCGCTCAGAACCCCAGCTTTGGCTTGGAGAAGGGCCCGCCCCTCCCGTTACGCCCCAACTCCAAGCTCCACCCTTCCTACAATCTTTTCTAGAAGGCACTAGAATGCCCCACTGCGTCAGCGCAAGCCTGCTTGAGGCGAAAGTTTAGCCTCGCCCTAGCTGGGCAGGATCCGACTTCCGTTCTCCGATTTCGCGCCCTTCCCATCGGCTGTCTAATTGGACAAAAATGATGAGCCCGCCCCTTCCGGGCTCCTAACTTCCGTCACAGTCCCGTTTCTCTGCCTGTTGCCCCCACGTCTTCTTCTTTCCCGCCGTGCCCCGCGGCTGGGCCGGGGCAGCAGTGAATCGGGTGGGGCGGTGTTACCCAGCAGCTCTCGCGGCATCGCTCGGTTCCGTCCCAGGCCGTCGTTGTCCCTGCTGTGGTCGTCCGTCGGCCGAGGGGCCGCGATATTGGTTCCCCCAGGGTGTGAGCAGAATTCGACGTGTACTGCTGTCGTGAAAATGGAGGGGCCTTTGTCCGTGTTCGGGGACCGCAGCACTGGGGAGGCGATCCGATCCCAGAACGGTAAGGGCAGGCCGGGCCTGGGTCGGGTTCGCTGGTGCGGCGGGCGGAGTCCCACTTCTACCAGCCCGCTGCTGCCCTCTTTGGGCCTTTCCTTCTTTACCTCAGCAGAAAGGGCCCCGGGGCACAGCGGCCGGACCCGTTCTCAGCGGGGAGGAGCCCAGGAGCGCGCGGCAGGGTTTTGAGACCGGCACCGCGTAGATGTGGTGTCAGGGGCGGCGTTGGAAACGTGCCTGTCCGCGGGAAAGCGGGGCCTCCCGGGCTCGCACGTGCACGCCACGCCTCGCACCCCCTTTTGTAATAGGGCAACCCCCTGAGTGTCCGTGTTAGACGCTAGGTTTCCCAGGAAACAGTAGGTTGACCCGCGTGCCCTCGGATGAGCCCGGTGCCCTGTCCACCCGCAACTGCCGTCGAGGTCGGGCGCTCGGCATCCAGCTCTGTCCGGGTTGACAGCTTCGTACAGTGTAGTTAGCCTGGGAAGCGCTACTCGGGTGCGTTGACCCCAGGAGACGGCAGCGCCAACGAGCTACCGATTTATTTTCCTCACAATTGAGTAGAAACTTGCAGGATCTGAAGAAAAAGGCTGGTATAGGTGTACGAAGTGGCAGAGCATGAAAATTGTGGTTATTACTTTTTTAGTTCTCCCCCCATCAGATCCGCACCCGCCAAGTCAAAGCTTTACGAAACAGCCTCGCTCTGTTTAGAGATGGGGTCCCACTGTCGCCCAGGCGGGAATGGCATCGTAGCTCACTGCAGTCTCCCAGTACAGGCCCGCGCCGCCACATCCAGCTTTTTTTATTTTTATTTTTTGTAGAAATGAGTTTCGTTATATTGGCGGGGGGCTCAAACTCCTGGTGTCAGGCAATCTTCCTGCTTGATATAGTGTTGGGATTACAGGTGTGTGAACCACAATGTCCGGCCCCATTTAGACTCTTAGTAGGTGGTTTTTAAACAGTTAACACAGATGTGTAGACTGGGGAAGTACAGGGACTGTTGGATGTCATTTACCTTCTTTAGGCTGAAATTATTCTTTCAGAGTTATGGATTGTTCTCATTTCTTTTTTTTTTTTGATTGTCTACAGTTATGGCTGCAGCTTCGATTGCCAATATTGTAAAAAGTTCTCTTGGTCCAGTTGGCTTGGATAAAATGTTGGTGGATGATATTGGTGTAAGTAGATGTAACTGTTGTGTTGGTTGCCTTCAAGTAAAACTATCTTCAGTGTTTTGTTACGTTTATTCTTTGATTTTATCAGAATCCAGGAAAGATGAATGTATTATTAAAATGGGGCTGTGTTGGTTTCTGTAAGTGGTTCATATTTTTTCCTGCTGATTTCTTAGGATGTAACCATTACTAACGATGGTGCCACCATCCTGAAGTTACTGGAGGTAGAACATCCTGCAGCTAAAGTTCTTTGTGAGCTGGCTGATCTGCAAGACAAAGAAGTTGGAGATGGAACTACCTCAGTGGTAGGTAGACTGGCTAAAAAAATGATCATTTTTCTAAAAACGACTTTCAGAGTTGAAGCCATGAGTGGGTCATTTGTGCTGTGTCAGAAATAAGTTATATATTTTAAATGCCCAGAAGACTGAGCAAAAAGAAAAAACAAAAGAAGTTACACATTTAAGAGGGAAAATAAGTTTCTCAGGTGCAGATTCAAAAACAAAATTTGTAAGTTGATAGTTATAGCTAGTCAGTACAATTTAAGTAGGAAAGAATTTGAGTTCATTTAACATAGCCCTGTTGTTTTAAATGTTGGTATTCAGATAACACACGTATTTTTTATGGTCTCTCAAAAGTCTTGTTTCCTCCTCCATCAGGCCTTGAGACTTGGAAAGCTCTGAACTTTTCTAATTATCTGGAGGACAAAATGTTACCAATTTGGCAGGGTGGGTTGGGGGAGCAATGTTTTTATATTATTTTTTAAAGAGACCATCTGTAGCACAGGCTGAAGTCCTGCAGTGTTGACATATCTCACTGCAGCCTGGAACTCCTGGGCTCAAGCAATCCTTCTGCCTTAGCCTGCCTTTGGCTTGCAGGCATATGCCACCTCAACCAGCCTATTAGTTTCAATAAAAAACTTTTTGTTTTGGTAGAGACAGGGTCTTGCTATGTTTCCCAGGCTGGTCTTGAACTCCTGGCCTCAAGTGATCCTCCCTTCTCGGCCTCTTACAGTGCTGGGATTATGAGCATGAGCTGCTGCACCCAGCCTGTTTTATTTTTTAAATCCTGACAGGTAATCTCAGGAATTCATAATGGGAGTGTGAGAAATTAATACATCATGATCTGACAGTGTGATCTTACCGAGTCGGTACACATGATATACAGTATGAACTCTTCATAGATCATCCAACACTTTGGTATAGTAGAAACACTGTCGTTTGGTGAGAAAGATATTAATTCTGGAGAAACAAGAGATAGTTTGTGGAGAAATTGTATTTCTAGATTAAACTTCAGCCGTGAAAGAATGGAATCTATTCCTAAAATATGAATATGATCTTTGTCTAACTTATGATAATGTGACTTAACAAATACTGTAGTTTTCCCCCCATGAGAAGCTGAAAGATTTTAAGTCTTTTTAGTTTAAAAATATTTATTAGTGTTTCGTATCAACTTACAAGAACTATTTTTTTTAAATAAGCCAAATAAGAGCCTAATATAGATCATCTGAATAGTCAAACTCAGTTTAGCTTCTGTTGAGCACTCAGTCTCTAAAAGATCATGGATGTGTTGTGCTGCTGAACAAGTTTCTTAGAACCTTTTTGTGGCTTCTATCCAGTTTTGGCCATTTGCATTTATATGTCATACAATAAGCCCTCACTGAACATCCACAATGGAGTCATGGAAACTGACTTTAAGAGAAAAGATGATTTGTAAAAAATAACAGTTTTCCTCTCCCATCAGTGTTACAGTAAATAGCTGTATTTGGTATTTGAGAAATTGCTGTCCATTGTTTTGTCTAAAGTGGCAGTTTCCAAGAATTTCTGAAAAACATTGAGAACTTAGAGTGTTTTGTAGAGTTCTTCTCCTCCCACCTCCCAGGTTTCTACTAACCAGTTAATTCATTTCACCACCACCATCCTGGTTAATAATATATGGCAATTTTTAGTGTCATTTCATATGTAGTGCACATGTTGAGTATCAGCCATACTCAGATCAATGAATGTTTTCTCAACAGGTTATTATTGCAGCAGAACTCCTAAAAAATGCAGATGAATTAGTCAAACAGAAAATTCATCCCACATCAGTTATTAGTGGCTATCGACTTGCTTGCAAGTAAGATTGTTTGCATTCAGAGAAAAAGTTTTTATGTAATAGTTGTAACAGTTTGTTGTCTTAATGTTTTGATTAATAACTGATTTTTAATTTGGAAAAGCAGTGTTAGAGTATTTAAGTAGTAATATTTGTCATTAGAAACTTGGATCAGTATCTTTTTTCCCATTTGACTACCACATTTTCTCTTAATAATAGATTTTAGTGGCTATGCTTATGGGATAGATTAAATTTGCCATGATCTGAAGAGGGAGGGTTTTTTCATGTCCTCCTCCTATATGAAATGGCTGAACAGATCTTAGGACATTTTGGCTCTGTTAAGCATGATGAACACAAAGAATTTGAGTAGTGACTTTACAAACCTTTGTCTACTCTACACTTTTAAACAGGGAAGCAGTGCGTTATATCAATGAAAACCTAATTGTTAACACAGATGAACTAGGAAGAGATTGCCTGATCAATGCTGCTAAGACATCCATGTCTTCCAAAATCATTGGAATGTATCCTTGTCGATGTCAGAAAAACAAAATAGGCTTTTTAAAACATAAGACTTTGAGATGGGCATGGTAGTGTATGCCTGTAGTTCCAGATGTTAAAAAGGGTGAGGCAGGAGGATTAATTAGTCCTAGGAGTTCCAGTCCAATGTGGGCAACATAGCAGGATCGTGTATGTGTGTTTATGCAATATCAGCAATATCAATTTTGTGCCATAAAATTTTAAATACTTGTTATGCAAATTGATATCATTAGGAGTAATGCTGTGTTTAAATTGTCTGTTGCCTTCCTTGCTTTTTTAGGGTGAAAAGGTAATAGAAAGCATGTCTAAAAGTGATATGAATTGCGGATAGTGATGAATAATTTACCATTTTGATGACATAAATAATCCCTGCTTCTTTAATGGATTAGATTACTAAAAGGAAGTTCCTTCAAATTAACCTTGATTTTTTCCATGTGTACCTTTGTCCATTCCAAGTCTGTTACCGTCCTTAACTTTTGGCTTAGAAATGGTGATTTCTTTGCTAACATGGTAGTAGATGCTGTACTTGCTATTAAATACACAGATATAAGAGGCCAGCCGCGCTATCCAGTCAACTCTGTTAATATTTTGAAAGCCCATGGGAGAAGTCAAACGGAGAGTATGCTGATCAGTGGCTATGCACTCAACTGTGTGGTAGGATCCCAGGGTAAGGTTCAGGATTTGATTTATAGAATGAGATTGCTACAGATTAAAACTAGCTTTTAGAGGGTTATGTGCAATACATCTTTTTGTAATTTAAAGCACATACGTCTTAGAAGGAATGTAAATTTTAAAAAAAATGTGCTTTTAGTGCTGTAAAAATTTTCTAAGTTAAAATGTAATGAAATGTAGTTAATTTGTATGTTTACATACAACTGATTATAATACTCTTTATTATGCTTTTAAGGATAGATGTAGTAACTTAATCTTACATTCAATTATAGGCATGCCCAAGAGAATTGTAAATGCAAAAATTGCTTGCCTTGACTTTAGCCTGCAAAAAACAAAAATGAAGCTTGGTGTACAGGTGGTCATTACAGACCCTGAAAAACTGGACCAAATTAGACAGAGGTATGTCAAGAAATTACTTTTGACCTTTGAAGTGTGAGTGTCTTGGAGGACTTTAAGATTTTTGGCCAAGTCAAACTGTTTTATGTAAACTTCCAGAAAAATTAGTCTGGTATTTTAAGAGGGATTTGGGGTTATACAGCCTGTACAAAAATCGGCCTTTTTCTGGAATTTTGGTTTTATCAGTCTATTGACATTAAAGATATGAAAGACAAGAATCTAATTTCCTCAGAGCAGTACAGAACTCAGCAAGTTTGCTGCTGTTTGCTAGATACTGGAGGGACAAGTGTTACTAGTGGTTGGCAACTTAGAAGAGCTAATGGTGAAGGTAGTGTGACCCTGCTGTAAATTTGACTGCCTAACCGTCACTTGAAACAATAAATAGTTTAGGCTGGGCATAGTGGCTCATGCCTATAATCCCACCACTTTGAGAGGCTGAGGTGGGAAGAATCTCAAGCCCAGGAAGTCGGGGCTGCAGTGAGCTTTGATTGTACCACTGCACTCCAACCTGGGTGACAGAGTGAGGCCCGGTCTCAAAAACAAAACAATGAATAAACAGTAGTTAACCAAACCATCAAGAAAGCTTTGCCAAGGGTAAGAAATGTGCTTTCATCAACATCAGTCTGCCTGGGTATTCTTTTTTCCTTCCTTCCTGATAAAACAAAGTGTCCTTTCTTCCATCAAAGCCAATCCCTCTACAGTAAGTGCGCCAGAGTCTGTTTCCTTCTGCTTTGGAGCCTTGCATTCATTGATTCTTCTTTCACACCTGCATCTTCCACTAATTCTGCTCTTTCCTGGATTCTTCTTGTGGCTCTTCTGCCTTTCAAGCCTCTTAATACATCTTCGTGCTGTAGGTACTCCCTGTCCTACATCTTTATGCCAGATATCATGAGTGATTTACTACATAAAACTTTTCTGGTGCTTTTCATCTCTTCCCTTTTCAGCCCTCTTCTCCATTTGCGGGACTGCATGTTAAGGTCTCTAGTGTGAAATTCAGAAGGCATTTTCAGCCTTCTTACGACCTTTAGCAACCCTTTGACATGTCCTTCTTGAAATGCTTTCGGGGATGGGAGGCCTTGTGATGCTGCATTGTCTATCCCTTGGCCTGGACCACCATCTTCTAATACTCCCAAGTCATTTGTTCCCATGACTTCGTGTATTAGCTTTCTATTCCAGAGACTCAAGCTGTTTCTCTGAGCTGCAAACACACACATGTATCTAATAGAATGCTTTTCAAGCATCTCAAAGTTAACATGTCTAAAACTGAACTTGTGATAATACTGCAAATCTGCTCTTGACCATTTTAATGATGAGGACTCCTCCCCACAGGCAGAAAACTAGGAAATATCCTTAACTTCTGTTTTTTGTTTGTACAGCTCATGAATTGTAAGTTCTAATGGTAGAGACAGAATGATTCCTTTGGCATTGTAGCCCCATACTTAGTACAGTGTGTAGCACACAGTACTTGTTCAGGAGACAGGCTGCTTTTGAAGTTGATCAGTAATTCATTTTACTTAAAAAATTCTTTGATCTCGGCCGGGCGTGGTGGCTCACGCCTGTAATCCAAGCACTTTGGAGGCCAAGGCGGGCGGATCACCTGAGGTCGGGAGTTAAAGACCAGCCTGACCAACATGGTGAAACCCTATCTTTAAAAATAAATAAATAAATAATAAAAATTATATGATGTATTCACATGGCTTAACTCAGAGTGACTCCTCAAATCTATATCTCTCATAGTTTGTGGTTTCCATGCTGTAAGTGACTACTACCTCCTGGCAGATTCACCCGAGTAACAGCAGAGACTTCAAACTTAATCTTGTCCCATACTCAACTCTGATTTCCCATCCTGCCCCCCAAACTGTTGCTATTTATTTTACTCCAGGAGTCACCCAAGCCATAAAATTTGACTTTTCTGTTTAAGCAATTCTCTTGCCTCCATCTCCCAAGTACCTGGGATTACAGGTATGCACCACCATGCCTGTCTAATGTTTTGTATTTTTAGTAGAGACAGGGTTTCATCGTGTTGGCCAGGCTGATCTTGAACTCCTGACCTCAGATGATCCACCTGCCTCGGTCTTCCAAAGTGCTGAGATTACAGGTATGAGCCATTGCATCCAGCCTGGACTCCTCTCTTCACTTCATCATCCTGCCTCCTAGGTTAGATTTTATGTCTCTTATGTGCTTGTAATCTCTGCATACCACTTGAGTGACAATTGCCTTGGAGTGTGACTGGTAATCCCTCTCCCCACTAGATCCTTGAAAGCAGGACTCATGTTCCCTATGTTACCATAGTTCTTGATTAGTAATTCAAATTTGGGTTGGGAGAGCTAAGTGGTAATTTTTTAAATTCCTTCAAATTTTCCATGAATTGGACTAATTTAAATTCTGGTCAGAGATAAGAAAGATTAATCTAGGGTTATCTTGTGATAAATACTTAATGGAAGTCAAAGCTAAATTATTTTTTTAAAATCACAGAAGGTAACTCCAGGTTATAAAAATACTTTGCAGAGAATCAGATATCACCAAGGAGAGAATTCAGAAGATCCTGGCAACTGGTGCCAACGTTATTCTAACCACTGGTGGAATTGATGATATGTGTCTGAAGTATTTTGTGGAGGCTGGTGCTATGGCAGTTAGAAGAGTTTTAAAAAGGGACCTTAAACGCATTGCTAAAGCTTCTGGAGGTATGTCTTATGCTGGCTCTCATGTAAAATCCTTTCATTATACCTGACCACATCAGAGGTCTTTTTACATTGGAATATTGACAGGAAGCAGCTTCAAAAACGTTTATATTCTCTTAATGCTTTGTGCTGTCAATACATTTATAGAGCCATTTTTCATGTAACTGAACAAACTCATTAACTGAGTTTGTTGGAAATTCATGAACTGAATTTGATCACTTCAAAAATAACATAGTTCCATCTTAGGATAAAAGGTGTGGGTTGCCTAACTAAATTCTAAATTTGTATTACTTTTATCACAAATGCTGCTGAGTCTAAGGATGTTAAAATCATGAAAGAGCAACATTTACAGGTACTTTGTAACTCTCTTAATAGCATCTATTCTGTCGACCCTGGCGAATCTGGAAGGTGAAGAAACTTTTGAAGCTGCAATGTTGGGACAGGCAGAAGAAGTGGTCCAAGAGAGAATTTGTGATGATGAGCTGATCTTAATCAAAAAGTAAGAGCTACCTTCTAAAATCGTAAAGTTACACAGGTTTTGTTAAGTAAAAGTAGGCTTTCTTCCCATTTATTTGCTGCTTGTAGTCTCACAGTGATATGAGCAGTTATACGCGTGGGATAAAATAACATTGGACCACTGTAAGTTGAGATGAAGTAACCATTTTCATCTCTTCTATATGGACTAGACATTGTTTCTGTATAGTATATCTAAAAATCCTGTGTAGGCAGAATTTAATCAAGGGCACTTTGACTATATATCCTTATTTTATTAAAATGCCAGTTTTTTTGAGAAATTGATGCTCTTGGCAAAAAAAAAACAGAGCTGTTACAAGAATCTCATTTTTTGTTTTTAACAGCACTAAGGCTCGTACATCGGCATCGATTATCTTACGTGGGGCAAATGATTTCATGTGTGATGAGATGGAGCGCTCTTTACACGATGCCCTTTGTGTAGTAAAGAGAGTTTTGGAGTCAAAATCTGTGGTTCCAGGTGGGGGTGCTGTAGAAGCAGCCCTGTCCATATATCTTGAAAACTATGCAACCAGCATGGTAAGAAGAGTTATTCCTTGTCTCGGCGGCCTGAGAGCAGTAGCTGTGGGCTTTTATTTGTTTACCCTTTTGTGAAGTCACCTAATTATGTTTTTCTCCTAGGGGTCTCGGGAACAGCTTGCTATTGCAGAGTTTGCAAGATCACTTCTTGTTATTCCTAATACACTGGCAGTTAATGCTGCCCAGGACTCCACAGATCTGGTTGCAAAATTAAGAGCTTTTCACAATGAGGCTCAGGTTAACCCAGAACGTAAAAATCTCAAATGGTAAGTATACAATTTCCCTGTCTTTTTAGCCCTTTGTTGACCTTTGGAAAATGGGATAGTAGTCAACCACAGGGGAAGCAAACATAAATAACACGCGTACCAAATGCTGCTTAACATGGAAACCTTCACAGCAAGCATTTGTTGTCTGGTCACTATAATTCAAGGGATAAATGACTCTCTTAGCACTGGGGTGCCCTAGTTAACTCTGACTACTCATCTTTCCTGTTCTTTGGGTAGAAAGACTACCTACAAGCTATGGGGCTGGGCCAGGTGTCTGTTGCCTATAATCCCAGCACACTGGGAGGCTGAGGCAGCCAGAATAACGAAGTAAGATCCAGACCATAGTGACCAACATGGCCAAACCCCATCTATGCTAAAATACAGAAAATTAGCCAGGTGTGATGGCAGGTGCTGTACCCAGCTACTCGGGAGGCTGAGGTAGGAGAATCACTTGAACCCAGGAGGCAGAGGTTACAGTGAGCCGAGATTGCACTACGGCACTCCAGCCTGGCGACAGAGCGAGACACTGTCTCAAAACAACAAAACAGATCTCTAGTTCAACTTAAAAATCAAGCTTAATGCCTGAATGAAATAGCTGGAATTAATAGGCCACCTAATTAAGTTGTAAGCAGCCATTTAATAGTTCTTTCTTAATTGCAGGATTGGTCTTGATTTGAGCAATGGTAAACCTCGAGACAACAAACAAGCAGGGGTGTTTGAACCAACCATAGTTAAAGTTAAGAGTTTGAAATTTGCAACAGAAGCTGCAATTACCATTCTTCGAATTGATGATCTTATTAAATTACATCCAGAAAGTAAAGATGATAAACATGGAAGTTATGAAGATGCTGTTCACTCTGGAGCCCTTAATGATTGATCTGCTGTCTCTTTATTTATAACAATGTTAAATGCAATCGTCTTGTAGCTTGAGTATACATTAAAATACAATGAGCTGTAAACTTGGGTTTTTGTGATGTAGGAAATGGTTTCCATCTGTGCTTTGGTCCTCTGATTTCACATATTATAACGTAGTACTTTATTAGTTTAAAAAGAAATTGAGATGGTTCAAAGTTTAAGCAGTTCATGCTCTCTGAACACACATTGCTATTCCCATCCCACCCCCAATGCACAGGGCCGCAACTCCACGATTTCCACCCGTTCTCTCCAGTGCGTGTAACAGGGTCACAAGAATTCGACAGCCAGATGCCCCAAGAGGGTGGCCCAAGGCTATAGCACCTCCTTGAATGTTGACCTAAGGGGGAGAAGAGACTTAGATTGTTTATTCTTCTGTTGACATAGTTTAAAATCCTAAACTTACCATTTTCCTCCTAATGTTGTATTAGCATGCTACCCTTTCAAAGTCAGATTTTCATTTTAACTGCTTAGGAATAAATTCACACCTTTGCAAAAATTCATCCCTGACTATCTTACCTCCTTCCTTATGCCAAGTAAGCTAATGGGCTTTTTTGTTTACCATGGGAAGTAACAAAATAAGTGAACTCCATCTTAGTAACTGGTATTTACCCACATGGCCAAGGCGTGGAAGACAAAATTGCATTGTGAAATTCATTGGAGAGCTCTCAGGATTACTTGTGCACCTTTACCTTCTCTGGGTTTAGTCCAAGTTCTTTAACAATTGCAACAGAGACAGCTGCAAAGGCTTCATTGATTTCAAATATATCAACATCCTCAAGTGACCAACCTGCTTTTGCAACCTAAAGGAAAGATTCATAGAAAAGATGTCTAAACTTGGGTGGAAAGGCTAAAATTAAACCATTCTTTGCTGACATAAATATGAAATATGCTGCATAATACTGAATGGTCTCTTTACTGCTACTTTGGTTTTTTCTTAGTTTTTTTTTTTTTTTTTTAATACAGTGACATTGTCATACATTTTTGCCTTAGTGATATCCATTCCATCCAAAAGGTTAAGGATGTGATCTAAAAGATGCCTTAGAAATTCTAAATTGTCTTAAATTTTGAACCAGTAGCATCTGTTATGTGTACTGAAGGGTAATGAAACAGAATCAGTTCCCCTAAAAAGCAGGTGATCTAAATGCTCTCAGTGGCTGGGGGTAGTGGCTCACACCTGTAATCTTAATGCTTTCAGAGCCTAAGGCAAGAGGATCACGAGCTCCGGAGTTCAAAACCAGCCTGGGCAACACGAGACCTTGTCTGTACAAAATATTAAGAAGTTAGGCACGGTGGTTGCACCTGTAGTTAAGCTAACTCAGGAGGCTGAAGCCGGAGGAATATCTGAGCCCAGGTGTTCTGAGGCTTCAGTGAACTATGATAATGCCACTGCACTCCAGCCTGGACAACAGACCAAGACCTTATCTCAAAAATAGAAAAAATTGTTCTTGGTTACTCTTACGGTAGGGAAAGACTACAGAACAACTAAATGAATAAGCTCATTTAAGGCTAACAGGAAGACAAATTTCATAAAAGGGAATCGAGTTATACTCACAGCTTGCTTTATGGCTGGAATTGGTCCTATTCCCATAATGGAAGGCTCCACACCCACTTGCGACCAGGAAACTATCTGTGCTAAAGGTGTAAGCCCACGTTTATCAGCTTCTGACTTCTTCATAAGAACCACAGCGGCAGCACCATCATTCATTCCTGTAAAATATGAGTGGCTTGATTTCTACAATGCTTATTAACTTCAGTTACCTACTGGCTTCTTTACCACCTGAAGACATGAGTTAAATGATTTTTACATGTTGACTAAGGCATTTACTATAATTCAACAGGCTTTACAGTATACATAGAAATTATTTTTGACAATATATTGACCATAAAACTTTCCAACTAGAGAATGTGGTAGGATAATAGCAGTCAGGGCTGGGTGTGGTAGTTCACACCTGTAATCCCAGCACTGTAGGAGGCAGAGGTGGGTGGATCACCTGCAGTCAGGAGTTCGAGACCAGCCTGACCAATATGGTGAAACCCCTGTCTCTACTAAAAATAGAAAAATTAGCCAAGTGTGGTGGTGTGCACCTGTAGTCCCAGCTACTTGGGAGGCTGAGACAGGAGAACTGCTTGAACCCAGGAGGGAGACATTACAGTGAGCTGAGATTGTACCACTGCACTCCAGCCTGGGTGACAGAGTGAGACTCCATCTCAAGAAAAAAAAGATTACAGCAGTCAGGGAGGGGAGATCTCTGAAAGGAAATGGAAGAATAATAAGCCTGGGCCTCACAAGGAGGTATTAGGAGTTTCTTGTACTGGGAAAATATAAATGTAGATAAACTGAAGTTCCCTAATTTACTTTTCATTTAGATGTCTAGTTGGGATGTCAAGAAACCAAAATAATTCTTTCAGTATAGGTTAAGTCAATGATCAGATAGAAATGACATGTTTCCTTAAACTTTTAAGAATAATTTTGTGGCTGGGCACTGTGGCTCAAGCCTGTAATCCCAGCACTTTGGGAGGCAGAGGCCGGTGGATCACGAGGTCAAGAGATCGAGACTATCCTGGTTAACATGGTGAAACCCCGTCTCTACTAAAAATACAAAAAATTAGCTGGGCATGGTGGCACGTGCCTGTAATCCCAGCTACTCAGGAGGCTGAGGCAGGAGAATTGCCTGAACCCAGGAGGCAGAGGTTGCGGTGAGCCGAGATGGGGCCATTGCACTCCAGCCTGGGTAACGAGCGAAACTCCGTCTCAAAAAAAAAAAAAAAAAAAGTACTTTTGTATATAAATAGAAAAATAATCACTTGGTAGACCTTACAGAACATAGTATTCCCCCAGATATCCTACAGAAAATCTAACCTGAAGCATTAGCTGGGGTGACTGTTCCTGTTCCATCTGTAAGAAAGTAAGGTTTTAGCTTGGACATAGCCTCTATGTTGCTCCCATGGCGAGGAAACTCATCTGTTTTAACTTCAATAAGACCTAAAAGAAGGAAAACCAATTACTCAAGATTACTCCAGAGACGGAAGTAACGTGTGCTGGGAATAGTGGGTTTCTCAGACATGGAACATGAGGATTCATACTTGGCAGAAAGGTTTTAATATGTAACCATTTTGATTACAATAGGAGGAAAGTACACACAAGAATTATTGTACATGAAAACAATGTATCCTTATGAGACACCTATGTTTTACAAATCCATATCCCTTCCTGAGGAAAGTAGTTTACCAGGAACCTGTTTGTGTAAAGTTCTGCTATGGTCACAGTACTTGGCTGGATACAAGTGAGAGGATCAGGGAGTCTCAAAGCCAATCCTACACTGCTGGCTGGACATAAGAGATGTCAGTTATCAAAAAGGGAGCTTGATGGTAGCATTCTGTATTAGAAAATAGCGAGTGCCCGGGCGCGGTGGCTCAAGCCTGTAGTCCCAGCACTTTGGGAGGCCGAGGTGGGCAGATGA